CAACCTTTTTGTGGTCCGTCCATCACGACAAGAGAATGGCGAAGAACGATTATCCATAAGAGTGCGTTCTACTAACTCTGAGACCACCTTGACACGGTTATTTACATTTCAACCGAATGCTTGCACTTGCTCTTTGGTATTGTTCGGAATAATTGTAATTAAAAGGGAATATTACCCCTTACCCCGTCTTCGTGATGTCTTGCGTAGTTTCGGATATTAATTTAGCGCGATATACGAAATAGGAATAGCACGCGTTCGAATGAATATAATCGTTTTCACTATGTCTATAAAACGAATTGTACACCGGTGCAACAACCAACGAGATTCTTAAAGCAATTGCTTTTCTCCTTTTTTGGTAGAATCATTTTCGACGTATCAACAGAGAAAAAAGCGAAATTACGGATTTCAAGAATCTCTGATCTTTAGATATTCACCGATTGAAAAGAAACAAAGATAATGGTGTCAAAAAACTTCACAAAGCGTAATCTCGAATTTCAATTTCTACATTCCCTTTAAAATCGTGTTATTCGTTGCGGTAAAATTGCGAAATTTGAATCGCCCGCCCAATGAACAGTTTCAAGGACAATTTACTCTTTAATAACTTATCGTTTGCACCTTGAATAGAAAACAAAGATATCAGCCGCAGAAAAAGTGACTAGGCATAAATTAAATTCGGCTATAAACTTTTGAAGAGAAATAAAGAATGATCGAGCGTAACATTAAACAGAGATATAGCGATATAAATTTAAGGTTGCGCGCGCACGTCGGTAAGCAGTCAAATTATAATTCGGCCGATTTCGCAACGTGGTCGGTTTATTGTTCCGAAATTTCTCCCGGATGTAACACTCGATATCGGAAATCGTTGAAAATCTCGATCGATCATTTGGCAGAATTGCCTCGTAATACGTGTAACAATGTGATCCTCTATTTGTCATAAGTTTCGAAGAAGGACAGCTAACTTTAATTTCATCCGTCAAAAAGGATTCCCACGCCGTTGGACGCGTAACGAAGCGATCGTTGCGCTACGCAACTTGCGGATAACTCTTGCCACGGTAAACATTAACGACGCACACGATTATATCGTCAAGCACGGGATGCAGAAGCATCTCGCATCAAAGAAACTGTAAAGGATAACTCTTGCCACGGTAAACATTAGCGACGCACACGATTATATCGTCAAGCACGGGATGCAGAAGCATCTCGCATCAAAGAAACTGTAATCTACACGCAAAAAATGATCTTTATCGTGGTGAACGCTGATTAATTGTCGTTAAGAATACGTTACTAGTTGGATTCCCTGCGTGACTCAATTGATTTCACGATTTTTTATTTACACACGAAGCCTCATTCTGATTCGGATATCTTCATTTCTCAATTTGAGAGCGACTACTTTTATCGGATACTGATTTTACGGAAGAAGAAATTTTTATCATAGCAGCTAGCTTCAAGGTAAAATAACGTTTTATTCAGTTTGAGAATCTTTCATTTCCCCATTTAATTTTAATTAACTGTTTTACCGTACCTAGGTTATAAAAAACCTGCCCTCATAAAGAATATTTCGATTGCAAATGACTATTAATATACGTTTAATTAATTACAATTAACTAATTACTTCTATGCTTTGATGTGTAGTTTGCATTTCATTTTACCAATTAGTATTAAGAGTTAAAAGACATGCGTGATTTAACAAAATTATCAGTAAAGATTTTTAATTGCTCTTTTTTTATTCTCAGTGAAAACAAAGACATAGTTTAAAGATACATTACAAACTTTCCAAACAGGATATTTTATAGATTTCTCTTTGCCAAAATGATTTACGAATGTTCTACGGACCAAATACAGATGTACGTGTTAATTACTAAAGGTCACGCACGGATTCTGAATACGGGTGTAGAAGTTGCCTTTGAAACGCGAATCTTGTGAAACTGTCGAGTTTATGTTACCCTCGTCTTGAACAGACGATATAATCTAATGTCATTACGACGAAAACACCGATTCATATCCTTGACATCTTTGAACGAAATAGATATGTTCCAATAGCCAGCAGTATTGAAAAAAAATCGCGTACACATTCCCCCGTTGGGAACCGGTCGTGGTCTTCTCCATCGATTGCGTAATTTCGGAGTGCGGTTACTTTATCTGGACCTTTATCTCGATTCGGAATATTTATAAGATCAAATGGTAGATTGCACTCGGATAGCCTCAAGCGATTTCTTAATCCACTGGGACAAGTATCTTTATTTTAGTTAGACATCTATATAATACAAAATTAAAAAGAATATACAGTAAACGATTAAAAATTTTCATTTGTTACATATATTCTTGTTAAGTATTAATAACCTGAAAATGGTTCTCGAAATTAAGATATTGAAAATTAAATGAATTGAAACCGAATTATAAATAAATAATAAATACAACGAAGTTTCTTGAAATGTTTTTATTGATTTGTTCAAATATAGATAACAAATGTACAAAGAAAGTAGAACAATTCAGTAAAAGTAAATGTAAATCGAAATGATCCAAGCCTATATCATAAATGCTACAGGAAGTAATGGTAAATGTATAGTGTCTCAGACACATTAGTATATTTCTTCTACTTTGAACATGTACCATTTCACATCTAATGATATATTTTCAACGTGATGACAAATTGGCTATGGAACGAAAATATGTAGAATCCACTGAAAAATGAATTGTTGATTCAGTTGCTTTGTAACTCTCGACATCGATTCATCGATTCCTTTACTCGAAAAGAATTTTTATTATTCGAGTATGGAAATAAATAAAAAATATTTATACAAATACACCGTCTGTTTTCGTAAATAATACTAAAGTTACAATGTAAAGTTCACACTATTCTTGTACTGGCTGGATCTACCAAGTCTTTACTTCTTTTTAAATAGAGAACGTTACGCGTTATAAAGTAGTCGTAACGATGAGCAAATATACATATATGCGATACAAGTCCCGGAGAAAATGTTATTCTATTCGATATTTTAAATAAGTTAATAAACAATGACTGACACATTAGAGTAACCAAAAAAAAAAATATTAAATTTTCTAAACATTACATTTAAAGGAACATATCTTTTGTTTCTGAAACATATTTTTCAGTTAAATAAACTCAACTATGTAATGTTTTGATGAAGGACGTATACAACAATGTTACTTAAGTCTATTAACTAAGTAAAAGGTTTCGGTAAATTATTAAAATCCTAAATTCTGATATTTTCTAATATCAGAAACTTTTAATCGAATTATGTGACTGCCGGAACTTGCATATAAAGTTATACGTATATTACGATACGAATTTGATACGTATATAATATACATAATACATACGTTTCTTATTACAAAATTCATAATTGATTAACACCCTATCGTGAGTAGATATTATTGCGATATCAGCGGTTATGAAGAATAAGAAACCCAAGATCGCTATATGCAATCTAAGAGAAACATTCCGCTTTTTTTACGTTATAGAAACATATGAATATATATTACACTTTGTATTTCTTTCGTTTTTACGTATAGAAATATTGAACTAACCAGCTAAATTATTATAAGTGATGAAATTGCAATAATTCGCACTTAAAATCAAGTAGTGCTGCAGGAAGACTGAACCGAAGAAACTGTCATTTTTGCAACTATATCGGTGGGTCTGTAATGTATACAGTATATTACGAGTTTCTCGAATGAAAACAGACGCTTCAACAATGATACATCGATTGTTTGCTTTTTTGCATATCCTCTACGTTAAGTTTAATTAATTTTTACATTTCATTTAAAATACAGTATATGTATACATTGAAATCCATTATCCTACTGTAACAACTTAAGCCTAATATGTGCCAGCTCTGTTATTTCATCACTTTGAAAGTGCACAATACAATTACAACTTGGCATCAATATGTGTATATATATATATATAGATACTTTTGCAAAAAGAATCACTTTATGTATACACAAAAATATATTACATTACATTACAGTAATAATTTACTATGCATATAAGCGATTCGTTATACAATTAAAAAACAAGGACCTTCTTATTCTGGCAGACTAAAAAATAAATTACCATTATGTATAGGATTCACAAATTATTTTTAAGGAGAGCAAAAATGCCGTGGCTGGTATCAATTAACTATATGTAAGCATTGAAACCATTTCTCAGAAATTACTTACATCAAAACAAAAAGAAATAACTCAGGAAACGAATAATAACTAGAAAAATAATCTTAAGAGTGTAAGCGTAATCGCGTGAGCAATTTGTAGAAAGACAAATCTTTTGAAAGTAGTACGTGCTAAAAAAACTTGCAAAGTATCAAGCTAAGAGAGCAATTCTGCTTCCATGCGTAATTTTCGATATTTCTATCACGTACAATCGTTTCAATTTTTACCTAAGCGTGTAAGTCTTCTTAAAACGCTAATATCTACAAGTAATATGTATGTAAACGTAATTTATAAAATTCTAAAGCTGAAAACTCGTTAAATGTTTCGGTAGATTAAACGTCCTACTCGAAACGTATATCGACTGCTATAATATACATTGCGATCGTGAATGGCTTTGGACACGAATCTTTGTTTCTTCGAACAAGAATCGTTTATATTGCCTTATGAAAATATAACGAAGCGTTACCGAACGCTGTTAATACATATATATTTCAACGCTCGTTGCTGTGCCCTTGGCGTTCTGTGCAATATCTAATACGTTCGAACGAAATATAGATGACAAATCTTTATCTATACTTTAATGTACAATTGCTCAATTACATGTTATACCTTATTAATACATTTCTTACAAATGTCCTTTCAAACATATACTCTCAAAATATTAATTTCGCGAATAAGAGTTTTTCAATTCCTACACTGAACTAAACATTATAGTTTTATCATTTTATTCTCAAATTCATGTTATTTAACGTTCACTTTATATAATATAAAGAAACAATGACTTTATTGATATTACTTCTTACCAATTTGCATGAAAAATTTGCGGACATTATTATCTTGGACGATTATTGTACGGTTTCACCTTTCACTCTAATTTCTTCTGAACATTTATTCCTATAAGTGCAGTTATTATTTTTCTCGTTTATGTTCTTTCTGTTCATCCGATGGTTCCTCACGAACTGCTGAAACCATTCTTAACATAAGAATGGCTAATAATTTGTCCAAAGGATCCATAAAACCTCGTTGAATCCATTTTGGTATCGTTGTACGAGCATGAGAAAATCCTAATTTTTGTAAGATGTAATCTATTCCATAGGGCTCAATGCTTTTACCGGCCCAAGAAAGTAACCTTTGATATATAAGATAAAAATCACACAAAGTATAATTTAATAGGTATAATTTAAGAATAATATCTCGTCATTACCTTACGGTTGGTTCTACATGCCATGTTTTACATCTATAAGATCGCCAATCTTTTATAAACATTTCTGCTGGATCAAATTGTTTACGTTTCTTCTCATCTTCGGAATTAATCACTGTTGTAGCAGAAGTTCCACTAGTACTTGTACTTCCACCTTTCTTCTCTTGAGGATCTGGACTGTGTGCTCGGGCACCCATATTCTACAAATATTATATAACAAATATAATTCGTAAAATAGCTTTTTGTATTATATAATTACTTTGAAAATACATTTACCACTTTTTCTTTTTCCTTCACGTATGAAGTAATCAAATCATGAAGGAAGAAAAAGGCCTCTGCGTCTACCGTAACGAAGATATGATCTTCAAATTCTGTGATAAAACTACATTCAACTAGTGGTTTTTCACCTGTTAAAAAAAATGATTTTTAAAAACTGGATTTTACACAATATTTCATCTAAAACTAATTTTACCATTACATTCCAAAATACGTTCATGATGTTACAAATCTAATTCTAATACAAATCTAAATCTTGACAAATTTTTTCGAAACTATTTAATTATTATAATAAGAATCTACGATAATAAAACGGTAATTCATAATTATACTTATAAAATAATAATATTATGAATTACTCTAATGTATATAATGAATTCTATACAAAGTATATGATTGTGACTTTTAAATTTTTCTAATATAATATTGAAATAGACTACTATTTCTCAATCAAAATATTTATAAGATTATAATTACTCTGTTTATAATATTGAACATTATTATCTTCCTTTATTTTTTATATAAGCAAAACCTATATATCACTTTATTATTACAAGAATATATTACATTAATGATCTCATTTTGTGTAGAACATGCATGCTAAATATAAATTTAACCATTACAGATTTAGCAATTACAAAAATATAGGCCTAATTTTTAACATTTTTTTTAATACTTTCATGCAAAATAATTTCTTTATGTATTATATATTATAAAGTACTCAATAATTTAAAACATTCTACAAATTAAATAATTTTATGAATTCCAAACGGAATACCTCTTACCAGATTACAAATAAATTAATTCTTACACTATACTTACTATATAAAATATGTTTAGGAGCTCCTAAAAATATACAAAAAAAAAAAATTTTCGACACAATTTAAAGAGAAAATTTCTATTTAAAAAAATTGTAATTTTTATAGTTATAAATACATATTAACAAAAATGTGTATATAAACAAGATATTTATTATCATGATAACTCTATTAAACACATATTTGAAAGACATATTTTTATATCATTAAAACTCCTATATGTATTAATTTAAATTGGATCATAATAAATAGAAATATTACATACCGATAACAACTGGAGTTTTAGCTGTTTGAAGATGTTCAGTTTTTAAATGTAATTGCAATGATGGTAAAGCAAATATAACTTCCCTTGCATGAGAATGTTCTTGTAATTTTCCAGAAGTTGTTGATGTACTTCTACCACGAGTTATATTGCCACTATCAGATGTACTATCTGTTCGTTCTCTTTCAACGCAAGGAAATCGATCCACAGCTGTAGATTAAAGCAGTCATTAATACAGTAAATATGTGATTTAATACTTTACATTTACATTTCATAATTATTAAAATAATTTTATTTTGTATACATAGATAACATACCGTCAATTTCACTACTAGCAAACGCATAATGAAACCATTCTTGCAGTGATTTAAATTGTGGTGGGAAAAGCACACTACGACTAAATCTGCAAACAGTAGCCATAGAATGGTGTCTTGCATGCTGTTCTTGTTGTTGGCCTAAACTGATGGTTAACGTTTGTACAACGTGAACGTCGCGTGTATTTGGGGCTATTAAAAATATAGTTATTCAATAATTTTAGATAAAACACAGCTTTCAGTTATTCTTCGAAATATTTCTTACATTCAACACTTGGAATTTCTTGAGCTTCAGTGGTGAAGCTAATGCATGGTTCTTTTAACGAAAATAGTGCCCAACTTTTACTTTTGAAATTAAGTCCATGGAAGCAAGCTAAACTAATATTACATCCATGTAGTTCCATTGTTCCCCCAAGCACAGTTCCTGTTGATGGTAAAGAAAAGCTTAAACTACCCAACTGAAGTCCAGCTACTTGTGCTAATACTCCTTGCCAATGTCTATGGTGACGAGCATCTGACATTGTAGTTTGATTTGTATTCCATGGACCTGCAATATATTGTTTTAAAAGTATATATTTTATTAGATTTATTTACAATACTCATAGATCAATTACGTTTAATATATAATTTTAATATATGATTGACCTTCATTAGTAGCTTTCTTTTTTTGTGTTCTTTTCCTAAAACTACTGTTATTTACTCTTTGATGTTTTGGTTGTAAAGAACTAAATACTCGTTTACTACTTTTAAATTGTTGACTGAAAAATTCATCCAATTTATAGTACATTTTTAGTAAATCCGCTGTTGTTGATTTACTAATCATAATCTGTAATTGATCCCATCCTAAGTCACCGTGCATAAAAATTACTGCAGGTCTAAATTAACATTTAAGTCAATGATTAAAAATTTGCTTAATTACAGACTGAAATATTAAAAAAATAGACGTATAACAAGAATAAAAGAACCTTCTCGTCGGCATAAAAGCATCTCCACTATTGTTACGATTAATTTTCCATTCATCTCTTAATGTAACATCCAATGAAGATACTCTAGACATCAATACACTTGTTCCCATATAATCTAAACGCAATTCTAATGCAAACAGTTTTAAACCTACAGTATGATCAGGTTCAATACCAGGCTCTTCTCTTATGTGTACTACAAAAATATAAACATGTAATACAGTTAATTTAATAAGACTAAACTACTCTTTAAAACAAGTTTTAATATTAACTACTTACTGTATGTATCAATTTCACTCAATTCAATGATACCACCAACAATACCACCCTTTGCATCCAAACTGGAACCTCCTAATCCAATACCTATGTATAAATTCTTATGTCCAGTACTACCTATGGATAGCCTACCATCAGATCTAAAATCCTTTGTCATCCATGTAACATTACCCATTACATTGCCCATGTTCATATGGACATTTAAACGAGTGAAATTTATGGCAAATAATACCAATGTCTCCCATGCAGATTCTCTTAATTTAAGTTCTGAAGACGTTTGTTTATCAGAAGTAAAACTCCATCCTCTACCGATATCTAATGATAATATATATATATTATTATATATAGTGCTTACAGTGCTAAAAATTATTTCACATAATAGTTAGAAAAAATAATATTTTACAAAATACCTTTCAATCGTGCGTGCTTCGGTATATCACCCTCCAAGCTTAATCTTAGTTTGTCTCTGTTCAATGTTGGACTTCGTTCTGGAGCACTTTTTGATAATCCATCAGCACCATGACGATCATAATGTTTTAACAGTGAGCTACCCATAACTGCCTCGTCTTGATTCAGAGAAGGGCTGCCATCACCCTCAGAATACGCAGTACCTGAACTTAAATCTCCTAAAAATAATCGACGTACTATACTACGTCTATACCATGCTTTTGGAAAGGCCAAGATTTCACTTAATCTTCGCATATCATATTTAAACGAGGCAGATCCGATATCAACAATTGCTAAAATATTATATAAAAATATTTCATTAATTCCTTCGATATATTAACTGATATTTTGATAATCTAAAAATAATACACACTAGAAAATCGTATTCCTGCACGACTAGTATCTGACATTTTTTTTGACTGTTCACTTTGAATATTTAATTTACGACTTCTTGACATGTGAAATTTTACAAATGCGACATTGATACTTAAAGAATCTTTTCTTTCGCTATCTGATAAAGGTGACCACTGTGCTTCTTTCAAACCAGTTTTCTTTCCACCACCATAGGGATGAAAAATATAAACAGAAAAATCAGCAAGACAACCAGTAACAGATAGTCCACCAATCGCTGAAGCCGCTTCTTTTCCAGTACTGTGTGTAGTATGTGGAGATTTGTATTCTCTAAACTCTATAAGTTCTTCTTCCGCACGCTTGGACGAAAACACGATATCAAGGGACGGCAATTGCAAGATGCATTCCACTCGAGAAACAGGTAAGCAAGAAAATCTGAAATAGTGAAACAGCTATGGCATTTGATATTCACAAATAAATTGATAAAATTATCTGAACGTTTGTTACCTGAACGTAGATGGTTGCATATGAAAATATACTATTACATCAACAGGAAAACTCGCATAAACGTAATTACTGCTCGCTGCAGTAGCAGCCCAAGATGTACTTTCCGCGTTCTCTAATGGAAATACTGCATTCGTTTGTGCATTACTATGAAAATTGGTTTTACTCGGTATTGGTTCTAACGTTTGTTCCAAAAATTCAAGAATATGTGGACTTATTATAGTTTCTTCTGGTATACTTTGAAGAGTCATCCAAGCAAATAAACTAGCCTTCTTAGTGCTAGATTTTTTAAACACAGTCATTGATGAAGGATTAAGCAAACTATTATCAGATGATACACGGGAAGACACAGATTCTTCTGGGAGTGTTTTAGATTCATAATGCACCTATAACAAAACATTATTTGAAAAGTTTTGAAATAATATAATATTAAAATATTATATACATATATCAGCAATAAAATACTTTTACCTTCACATCTAAGCCAGGAATATGAAAAATTGTTAAATCTACTAAAGGTACATTAGTGTGTTGTAAATATCTTAATCGAGATGTACTTGTAGTAGATGATTTTTCTTTGCTACTTAAGTGTTTTCTACTACTACTAGGGCTGCTTGGTTGAAATTCAAATGTACCTCCTGAACATGATCGTTCTTTCTTCATTCTACTCATACTGCATATAGAAAACACACATAATAAATACACATAATAAAAAATTTTGTTAATTAATATACATACTTACATTTTAATTTCATCTTCTTTTCCTGGATCCTTTGTGTGGAGTACACATTTACCACTATTAATTAAAACTTTTACATCAAGTTCAAAATCTATATTAGGCTCTTGAGCTTTTTGAGGTGTTATATATGGTGATGAGGTCGATGATGATTGCTCTTTCCCAAATGAATCAAGCAATGGTGCACTATAAAAGTTAAATCTTAGCAAATATAATTTAATATATTCATAAATTTTATATTTTATGCTTATACATACTTTCCTTCCATACTATCATAACTTGAAGTGTAACTAACATCTCTACTTTTTTTTCTTAATTCAACTCGTTCTCCATCTATTTCGATAGTTTCTGGCCATTCTAATTCGCCTTCTGGCAAACTTAACTCAGAACCAGCACTTGGAAGTGACGATTGCCTAAATAATAATATTATTCAAGCATGACAAAAAAGATATTAAAATTATTTAATAAACATACCTGCCCATTGTATGTGTATCACTGAAAGTAACTCGTGGTCCACTAAGTCCTCTTACGCGAAGGGAAGCAGATCTTTAAATTAACATTCACTTTTACATAAATTTTTTGTGAAAGAAAAAAAATGAAGTATAATTTTATTAAACATAAAAATATATAATACCGGCTTGGACCACTTCTAGGGCTACTTTCATAACTAGCAGAATTTGCTGAATTGACTTCCATATTCATATCTTCAGGACTTTCAAGTTGATTTTCAAGCGTTGGTGAGGGTACAATAAACGAACGTGATCGATAGGTATTTGGTTTCCCACCTAATCCTAATTTACCTTTTATCCCTGAAGCTTTAACCGACTGTCTTCTCAACTTTTGAATCATATCTCTGTATAATTTATACATTAATAACATACTGCATTGTATCATATTAGTCTCAAATTTATTTCATAGATTTATACCTCCTAAAATCTTTGAAAACCATAGCTTCCAATTCATGAAGACGTTTCATTTCTTGTTCTATAGTTCCATGAGAAGCACCTAATGATCGTAAATCATTTATAATTTTTGCCTGTTCATGCATCTCTTTCTCAATTAACTTCGATCTCTTTTTTGCATCAAGCGTTGGATCGAAAACAAATGCTGGTAGACTATCTGTCCAATTTTTTGACTTCTTCATTAATATACTCTCCTACAAACATTTAAAACTCAATAAATAAACAAAACACATATGATCATACACCTTTAAATGAAAAAAATTCATGGATATAGAAAAATGAGATTAGATTTTAAGAGCCAGTTTCTAATACATTACCCAACTAAAGGTCCCAAAAAAAGTACTATAGGATAAAATAAATATAATTAAACCATACTTTTTTTTTAACCTGGCTAGTACTATTATCTGGTTGATCCGCATCATCGCTATCATAATCTGCAGGTACATGAATATCATCTTCTTCAGAACCAGTCAACATTGTTAGTGTATGTCCAAGTGCTGACAATTGTTGTCCTACATTAACATCTAGATGAATATCAACACCTTCCATTTGCCACTGTACATTTAAAATCCACTTGGCATTATCTGAAAAAAATTAGAACACATTACCTATCTATTACAAAAAGTTATTAAGATAAAATTTTATTTTTATTACCAGACTTGTCCTGTTTTTGTGCAATTGTTCTACTACATACTTCATATGTGCCCTCAGATACCATACATAAATTCATTATGCTACTATCAGTTACATCTGGTTTCCAATCATCTAAGGAAGTTTCAAAGTCATCAGCAAATCTCAAACACAAACCCATAAATCTATAAAATGTTAAAATTTCATTAATCCCTTCGTAATATTTGTTAACAATTGAGTTACTAATAATAATAATACCTTGCTTTACTAACTAAGCTACCACTGCTGCATGCTGATATGCTTGTATTTTCTAATGTCACTACCACAGCACCTCTTGATTCGCCATCGTACAACCCTCTATTCATACCCCATGTAGGCGGTAGAGGGTTAAGCGGTAAACAAATACCCATATCATCCACAGTCAATTGTAAAAATAATGTCCCCAAATGAGGAGCACTTAATTGACTCGTTATTTGACCAAATGGAACTTTTTCAAATACTTGTTGTGTGGCGGTTAAAACCTCTTTATTTAAATTAGCTCTCTTCTCGTTCCAATATTCATATGCGTTTTTATAATTTAGCCAAACAAGTATAGCTTTATCAATAGCCATTGGCTGAACATATATTAATGGACGCTTTAGCGTAATTAAAACTACTTCTTTGTCTTCACCTTCTACCATCTCTTCTTGAAAAGCATTCCGTAATCCTACCCTAGTATTAAAAAAGGCAAATTGCTGAAATTCTGGTTCTGCTTCTTCAAATAGAACATTTTTTAATAATTGTCCAAGACTTAAATTAATGTCAACTTGTGCTTTGCCAAATAATTTCATGTATGGATTTGGTTGAGTAGCACCAGAAACATTTTGTACTCTATTTGATAATTGAAGTTCAACAGCTCCAGTTTCTAATCGAACTGCCGAATTCGTTGGTGTTGTTGCTGTTAACTGTATCCGCTATATATAATACAAAAAAAATTATGAAATTCCTAAAATTCTAAATTATTGATACTAACAGAATAGCATTGAAATATACCTTAATACGAATAATTAATGTAAATAATATTCTTTTTACAACCGCATTATTTGGCTCTTCATCTTCTAACCATAAAGGAACTGGCTTCTCTCCACCATAAACTTTTTGTACAACTTCATTTACTTCTTTCATAAATACTTTTTGTACAAATACCAAATGATTAAGAAGATCCGTGGTTAAGGAGTGTTCAAAAGTACCGATATCCGCAGTTGCACTAAGATAGCTGCCTTGTCTTAATACAACACCATCTATAAATTATAAGCAATCCCATTTAATATATTCATGCTATAAAATGACAATATCAAGACTTATTCAATTACTAACCAGCTAATTTACTATCATTTATGTTACTGTTTCCATCTTGAATATATTCTGCAGATACATGTACTTTAGGAAGTCCAATACTAGCTTCGGAGGGTAAATTTGCTTCCGCCACTTGAAGTTTCGTTGTAAAACTCAAAGTATGACGAGGTAGATCTATTGTAAATTTAGCTTTACTACCAGTTATACCGGAACTAGTTACTTGATCCATTTTATATTGTGCTTGTAAAGATGGTAGTAGAGCTGCTGTTATACTCAAACTTTGAAGTATTATGTGGAACTGCATTACAATTGGTTCTAACAAACTAGATACAACTTGTGGTTTTTCTAAATCAACTGATGGTACTGGTGCATAATGATGTGGACTACCAGGTACTCCTGTATCTACTTCATCCTGTTGTTGACCTCTGGACATTCTTGAAGATGTTCTTGTCACCCTTAGTTCCTAAAAGATGTTTATTATTTTAAATCATAATAAATTTAGTTATCATAGATAATTATTAAAAATTATATATTTACTTGTAAAGTCGATGATAATTGTTTACTACCTCTAGTCATCATACCATGTAAAGCTACTGGATGTTGAGGAATATCAATATTGACGGCACCGACAGTCAGTAATCCACTATTTTTATCTTTTTGTCGCCTACTTATACTGGAATACAAAGCTTGCGACTTTCCTACAGTTACTTTAACAACTGTTTGTTGATTAGGTGCAACACCTTCTAATAGAACAATCATTGTTCTACCAATTTGTCCACTTAAACTACATTCTAAACTGGCGGGTCTGGATTTTTTACGACATGTAAAACTTGCGTGAAGGCTCGTTATTTCTGCTTCAAGTTTTAATCCACTGAGAGTAGCTAATAATCTGGTTCTATGTATTCGAGCAACACCAAAAATAAGTAATCTTGTCCGTTCCCCCGTAACGATATCTGCAATGTATTATTATGTACAATGAAATATAGAAAATATATGGTAAAATTGAATTTTTAAACAAAAAGAAAAATTAAATTAATATTAACTTAATTCCCGCGGAAGTGGCACTGGCGTTGAACTATTTTCAGCATTCAATCCTTTTTCAATATCTGCATCCTTGGTTTCGTTTAATAATTCGTATTTTCTACCGCTTTTATAATGTTCCGAAGCGTCTGCTGGTATAGAAAAACGATGTGTAATAGTTTTTGTTTCTGGTCGAGTAGCGTATAAATCCAACAAATAATAAATCGTTTTCCAGCATCGTGGCGTTAAATGTGTCGCATCTTTACATTTATCGGAAAGTACACAGAATTTGTCTAACCCAGATCCACTTGGACTGGCTCCAAAATTTGGAGTTATCACACCTTCGCTCAAATTAATATATCCTTTTACACTTTTTCCTGTACTACGTAATTTTTGAGCAAAACTTTGAGGCCGAGATCGAATACTCGCACCAGGTGATATCACTTTTGAAAGATTGGGTTCAAAACTATTACGGAGTAATGGAGCATCTATTTTTTTTCCTTCTAATAAAAGTTGCTCTTGTAAATCAGATGCTATCGAGAAAACAAAAGCATGTCAAATTTATGTTTAAGTATATAATTAACAATATTGTAAATAAAATAATATTTACTTGAAGATGATCCATTTTTTACTGTTGTATCATTAACAATTAAATTATTATTTCGTTTACACTCTGGTTGTTGTTCTTTTAATTCCATTTGTGTTTCTTTAACATTTTGATACATATTACTAATTTGATGTAATAATCTGAGAAGAGGCATGTTTACTTGTTGACTAATGTATCGTATATTTAAACTAAAATTCACAACTGTACTTGTATGTTTTTTCAATTGGCCCCGAGATATGTATAAAACAGTTTGTTCTTGAATCATATCATCTACCGTCATATCAGCTCTTTTCTTAACATCAATATCAATACCGATTTTTTCGCATAAAAATGCTGGTGTTTCTGGTGGTATATCAAGATGAAATTTCGAATTGATTCCCTTCTTTACTTGATATTTATTACCTAATATATTGATTTAAATTCAAATTACATTCATTAAATTACGTTTCATTTATCAATGTAAATAGATTTTTAAACTAATATTTTTTTGCAACATACCCTTCCTTTTATCAGTTACTTTTCCGAATTCACTCACAACTATATCAATACGCATAGTCTCCATATTTCCTACCAAAGATAAATTTGATCCTAATGAGTCTAAGGAAGATATATTGTTTACATTTCCTGAACCAATAGCAGATAACATTTGTTGTGGCATAACAGATAAAGAAGATAGAAGTGGTTCAAAAATTAAATGTGCATCCAAAAGTCTAAGTGAATCTTTCATGGGATAAAGAAGTGTTCCACTATGAACATCAGAATCTTCTGTATCATCTGTTGTCATTGTATTAATTTTAGAATCCTGAAAATATATATGTATCTTAATTGTATTAAAAAACTATATAAATAAATAAATACATCCTAAAATAAAATTTGACAAAGATATACATTTAATTTTACAATAAATTCTAAGTACCTTTAAAGATTTTTGTTCTGGATGAAAGACCTAAGATGATAGGAATAATAAAAATAGATATTGTATTGCAAATGTTGTTTCTGATATTCCATATGTAATAAAAGATGTTACATACCCAATTTCCTTTTAAATTGCCTTTATCATTGTCCTTTATAAACTCTTGTTGTTTAGCCATCCAACTATATAAATCTTCCCCAGTATTTAACGGTTTATTGGAATAATGACTTGTGGGAGATGTGACCTGATCCAAGCTTCCAGTACTATGTTGACTACCATGTCCACCTCCAGAACAGATACTTGGATTAGAACCAAGCTGATGAGAATGAGAAATATGGATTTGCGGCGTCTTCTCTTCTCGCAATGTGCCATAACCTAATGTAAAATTCTAGTTATACATACATTATTTTTATCATATGAAAAGAATATAAAATTAACTGAAAAAATAATGCATAAGATATTGTTAGACGAATAGAAATATAGAATTAAATAAACAAAAACAAATATGAGACAGATACCTGATAAGCGCTACAACAAGGAAATAAGCAATATACATGAGAAACAAACTGATGTTTAAAAAAATATGTAATGCTAATACTGAATTGCAAAACAATACAAATTACTGAGAAAATTAATGATCTAATGGAATCAAAACAGTCTATTCATTAGAATATTTATTTTAGTTATTTTAGTTGTTTATTTTCTTTTCCGTAAAATCTCTGTATGTTTCTTCAATGAGAGAACTAAATTAACAAATTTTATAATTTAGTTTATGTCATGCTAATGTATAGACTGTTAACAAAAACTTTAATCATCTTGCACTTACATATATTATTTGGTTCCCGAGTTTGATTGAATAACCCACCACTTGCAAGCAATGGAAAAACAATACTTGCTCGTGTACTAGCAGGCATTTGCGTGGGTTGTAGTGATTTTCCTTTTTTTAGACGAACTACTGGTGGAGAGGGGGAGGTTAATGAATCCGGGCCTGGAACCGGTGTTGCTATAGGGGTTGTGTCTTTTCCCCGAGGAGAACTTACAGGAACCGTCAAACCATCACCACAAATACCTGGTCATTCCATATCAAGCCATGATTTTTGTTCAAGAAGCTTATAATTATACTCTCTTAATGTATATTTAGGAAAGTATGTTATATTCTTAACAGAATAGTGTTATATTATTACAAAATGTATTTGTTAATTTAACTTCTATAAATAGCTCACTAAAATAATTATGAAAATGTATGTAGCATAAAAGACTTATATGCGGAATTAACATCTAAAAATTCTTAAAAATTTATTTAATCTCTGATTTGAATATTTTTCCCAATATTTTATAATAGGAAAAATAATAATAAAAAAAAAATGATAATTTATTTAATATGTGGATTTAAGATTTTAATATTGACAATAAACAAATAAAAAAATTGGACAAAATTAGTACAAGCAAATAAATATTTTGTATACAGTTTATATGTAAATAGCATAAAAGTCTTTAATGGAAAATTGGTACTATTGTGTAAATATTTTATAGTTACTAACACTAAAGACACATATGTGCCTATATGAGAATGCAGAATAAGGTATTAAGCAATTATCAAAATTACAATTTAAAACAAATGCTAAAAGCTGTAGATGTATTAAATTGAAATTTTAAAAAATATCAGATAATTTAGTAAAGTTATATTAATATAAAAACACTGTACCAGGTATCTTCATAGATTATACGATTAAAACTTCCTTTTAATTTAACTTATAGTACCTGTACTTTTATCTTGTCCACTCTTGACATGTGTATGCTTGTACATGTGGTCTGTGTCAATTAACATAGCACATTCATCTGTGACTTCCTGATCATCAACTTCTCCTGCGCTACCCTCACCATCAGTCAGCAAATTTTCCTGTACATGAATAAGTTATATCCAAAATATTTATGCAATTATTTTAAAAATGAAAATCAAAATAATTTATTTTTATCATAATCAATAACGAGCGAAATAAATCTCAAAGTTTTAATCGAAAATTTTTTATTTTCAGTAAATCATAACAAAATAGTTAATAAATAAAAAAATGTGAGAATAATTTTCAGAAAACTTTGGCTTCAGAAGTTTTGAATTTCACAGGAAGTCTTAAAATTATGACATCATTTTTGCACATAATACTTTCAGTTAAATATTGCATAAACCCTGAAGAAACCTCCACCATTGTTTATGCTGCCATGTACTACTGATTTTCATACTATATTTTATTACAGAATGTTGTATTATTTAAGCATAACATAAATCAATTAAATCACATATGCTCATGGCATAAAAATGTAAGTTCTGTTAATAAACATATATGCATCAGATTACTAGCATATTATATTACATAAGAAGAAAGTTAACAGTTATTTGACAAAGCTTGTACATTTATCAACATGAAAATATATTTTTATATGAAAACAATTTGCAAAGATACTGTGTTAGAGCTACTTCTGTGAATATATTTTTAAAGTTCTTACTGAATTTTACATTGTAATCATCCTCCTGTACATCCTTGCTTATTTGCTGAAAAAAAAATTGTCTACCAAATTATGTTCCCCATAAAATATATTATGAACTTCTAAATCAAATAAGATGCTTCCTCTTTAATGTATAAATAATGTTATTAATATAAGAAAAATTGTAGTATTTTAAAATGATTATATAAAAAAGAATAAATGAGAAATATTATGTATTAGGAAAAACAAATATAATGTTAATAATTATTTAAAGAAAAAATTAATAAGAAATATAAAGTTGTATGAAAGTTATTTGAAATTCCATTCCCAATATTTCTAATTTAATTTTTAATAGAAACATTTAAGTACACGAGAAATAAATAATGTTCATACCTCATCTGGATCTGTAACTGCAAATGTGACATTCACTGGTTTAACATGTTTGGTTTTATAATTATGTTCTAATAATAGTGGCGTATATAGAACATTTTTCCATTGCCTGCTCAATACTATAACTCCCTAGTAATATAATCTTATATGTAAAAATGAATGAATATATAAACACAGTTTAGAAAATTGAAATATATTTATGATACAACTTACTTGTCGAAGTGTTGATAACAAAGGTAAATCGGATTCTTTTAAATTAGCCTCAATGCTTTTTAATTCGTTTAATAAAACGTAATTTTGTAAAATTGTACATAGCTGACAAGATGGATCTTCTTGTAATGTTTTTGCTAATGGTGTTAATCTTCCATAGCGACTCTATAAAAAAAAAGGGCGATAATAATTTTCTTAAATATAATAAATTTAATCAAATACTAGTACCTTGGTTGGCATGTGCGTCGCTTGAACATCTAATGCTTCTGCCATGAGACAAGCAACAATAGCAGTTGACCTCCGATACATAGTTCTGAACATATGTACAATTCGAATTGCAAACTTATTGCTAGGATTCATCCAAGCATTTATAGCAGGTGATGCTGTACTTAGTAAATTCCAATCTAATCGAGTGTAATCAATTTTTCTCGTTATCGGGGTACGGGGTGGTGCTGCAAAATTAAACCACACTGTCTTTAATTCTATAATACAAGAAACAGTGTTTCCATTTCCTGCTTTTGAGGCAAGACTAGCACATGTTACACTAGTATTTATTTGTGCTCCATTATGCAAGTTTGTTGAAGTTGTTTCTGGATCTGCTGTACCTATAGCAGAAACTGCAATAAATAAATACAGATATAATTTATATAGATATAATATTTACTAATAAACAATGAAGTTAAAAAGTTATGTATACCAGCTGCATTATCTAATTCCTCTTGACTCTTTACACTATCTGTATAAAATATCTCAGCATCAACTTTTTTACTGTCATTTCCGTTTTCTCCTTTTTCAAATTGTGATCTTTTAACTACTTTCAATTTGATTCCTTCTAAACCACATTCAAACATTATAAAACCTAATCTATCTTCTCCACTACCAAGAGTAAATTCTTCTGTTGCTTGTGGAGATCCAGATTGTTTCTATAATAAATATATTTGTAATAAGTTTAAAAAAAAATAGAGTTTCAGATCATAAATGTAAGTTAGAAAGGATCAAAAACATACACTTTTTTCTTTGTCATCTGTAAATTGATGTAAATAATAATCAACACATTTTAGTGGAGAAGTTATTCTAGTACATGTGAATAACACTCTTGAATAATGAACAGGAATTGCTGTTATAACAGCATCTTTTAATATTGAAGATTCATTTCTAAGTCTACGTAATTGAGAATGAGCTTTACCTATAGTATAAATTATTTAAATTAATATTATGTGATAGCTTAGAATGATCATGATAATATATAGGTAATTTACCTATATTTAATGTAACTACAATTTCTTCTTGCTGTTTTTCAGAAGTTTCTATATATACTGTTTCTCCACTCCCAATATCTGCAACCACAGCAGCTGTTTGATGTCCAGGTAAAAATGCTTTACTAATTTTATTAACTTTCTTTTGATTCGGTAATACAGCTGGTTTATGGAATGTTTGAACTACTTCCCTGGCTTGTTTTCCAATATAAAATCTTGCTGTTACATCATCAAAACAAATGGCAAATAATGATACACATGTTAAATCACGTATATTTTCAAGAGCAGAAAAGGATATAATTTCTTCAACAACCGAAGCTTGCAGCAAAGTTATATTCATCTAAAATTAAACAAAAATACGTATAAAATTTCCAAACTGTTAAGAAGTTATATATTGTAAATTAATAATTACCTTTGGTAAAATAATACTGCCCTGTACTTGTGTCATGATGCTTTCTTCATACACATTTGTTTGCAATGCAATTTTACCTATTATTAAACAAGAATGTTAACAAATATACATGTAGTCGATGAAAAAAAATTGAATGTGATTGAACTAACGTTTATCGTCACCTTGCCCATTCTTAATATTTCTTTCAGCAGTGGATCGTTTTGAACTAGTTTGTACTTGACTCCAGTAGGATAAACTTTGATCTTGCTTCAAAATATTAGCATCTTCAACTTTTCCAATGCATTCATGATGGAGATGATTTAAAATTGTTAATGGATGTAAAGTTGCTAATGTCGATATGATAGCATCGATGAAACGTTGCAAAGATTCTAGTACCATAGGACTTAACATAATATCTACATCTCCCTTAAACTTTACAATAACCGTTGTCCGCGATCCATTTTCATGTTGCACGGTTAATAACTCTTCCTTGTTGTGGGTTGTATGATCTTCTTCTCCTTAATGTAATAATGTAATCGTTAACATACACGCACATGTACACACGTGGATATGTACTTTAATAATCATTTAACAATAATATAAAAATATTGTTTACATATTCTACCTTCCATATGATTAATAGTTGTACTATCCCAAAGATATGGATGTGTAGGAGTTTCATTAGTTGAATTTGCTACAGGTGAACCATCAGATCTAGTAATCATTTTTAATGATGTAAATCCTTCAGTGACAGTTTCAAATTTTGGTACATATCTTCCACCAACATAAACTAATCTACCATCCTCAGTACGCTGAAAAAGTGGTGTAGTAAATGCAGCATTTCCTGCTGGTATTGATGATTGACTCCAATTTAAGCAACGTATCTAAAATTAATTATATATTACTTACAAATTATGTCTATTAAAACAATGAAAATTTGAAATTTATATATTTGAAATTACCTGAGTTAAATGACTAACGTAGCTTGACATTAGAAGTGGAGAATCAACAATAGGCTTATTTACTTGCATGTGCAAATTTACAAGAGTAACATCTTCTTGTGACGATACCGCAGATATGAAACTAGTAGAAGAAACAGAATGACTATCGGATGAATCACGTAATACACCATTTCCACCGTTCGAATCAACATCATTTTGGAAACTGGTATTTCGATTTACTCTAGGACTTCGTTTCGTACTTATCGTTTGTGGTTTTGCTCTCTCTAAAGTATGTGCTTTCTCAGATATGGAAACATTTACATTTGTTGAACTTTCTACAATAGATAAGTCTGAAGAGAACTTCTTTTTCATACTATCATTACGATTTAATACTGAACCAGATCCGACAATAGATTGACGCAAGCTTGATGTGCGACTTCCACTTAATCCATGACTCGTGTCTTCATCAGCAGAATAGAAAGCCTCTGAATGATTTTCCGAAGACATAGATATTGTCCGTTGAACCTGTATTAAATACAAAGGAGCATATTTTATTGCAATTTTAAATCATATATTTATATATAATTTACATAACGTAATTTAATTACGTTAATTGATTAATTTTACCTCTTGTTTTAATTTCTCTTCTGACTCTGATTTTATGTATAATGAGTGATGAGAATCAGAAATGTTGATACCATCAATAGTTTTTATACTTGTTTGCATCGAATCAGAAAAATTTATTTCTGTAGATACAACTGGCAATGACTGTGGACTATTTGATTCAAACGGTTCAACATCTGATGCATTAAAATAGTCAACCGCTAATTTAGAATCAGATACGCTACTTTTTGGAGCAGTTTCGATTTCAGGAACACTTAAAATCGATTTACTTCGTTCTGTATGTAATTTTGAATCTGAATCTAATTTTTGTGGTAACTGTACAACAGGACTAGCATCCACTAATCGGGAATATGGTACATCCTTTACACTGCTTCCACTGCAAAAAAAAATTAAAAGATAATACTTCTGAACGTAATATATATAAAAAATAAATGTATATTCTGTGAAATATGATGATGACTTTTCTTTTGACTATAATATTAAATATAGCATATTAGAAATAAATGTTTAAAAATAAGATTATTTTCTATATCAAAAAGATAAGCTTACAAGAAGCAGAACATTTTCATGGAGACAGAATCCACTGAAACATAAGATACACTAAAAAATTACATTGACAGATAGCAGTATAAATGATATATAAGTTAACATTTCTTTCTTGATATTATTATGCATAATTTTCGTTTAAATTTTCATGTTCTGAATTCTAAGTATTAAGGAACATATTATAAGTTCAGAGTTTAGCATATTTATGCAATCATGCAATATTTAAAAAAATTAATCAAATCATTAATAAGCTGCTTCAAAGCTATTCTAAAAATTACCGCATCGATGTATAAGAAAATCTTCTGTCCAGCAGTTTCCGTTCACCACTGCATGCGAATGGACTTGCTGATGCAGCAATTAATTTTGTACTATTAGTTTCTTCTTTATTATGATCTGTCACAGACCTTGGTCGTTCAACACCTTTTTTCGAAGTTTGTGATCCATCCTGCGTAGCAGTTACTTTTACTCCAGTAAAAGGATAGTCTTGTAAAGATACATCTTGTAAATTATACGGCGAAGTATGAAATACCAGTTGACCATTGTGTAATATAGATTGCCCAAAACCTTTTTCTTTTCCGGATTCGTTAATTCTGAAGCATATGTACAAACAGTAAAAAATGATTTGTTACTAAATTAGTATTTTATATGCAATTTATACCTGTATGCAGCAATATTTATGCCATCTTGAAAATCATGGTAACTTGGTTTAAAAAATGTTGGCCCATTTCGATTATTTCCAAAAAATGCACAGCCGCCTATACAACCGCATTTTGTTGCTTTCACGCCACTTTCTCGAGGCCACAAGAACCATAAACGTTTTGTAGCCTCATCATGTAGTTTTAAATACTTATTTTGTACTAAATGTAAATTATGTTCAGGACTTGGAAGTGAAATTGCAGCTTCTAAGATTACTGGTCCTAAAGCTACAGATCCTACTTCTAACCAAATATCAGACCCATCACCTAAAATAAAATAAATTGCATTACTTTTAATTTTTTATATTTAGTTACATATATGTGTAGGGATACTTTTGATTGACAAATATAAGGAATAAAAGATGTTGGTATATTCCAACATATATATATATATATATATGAGCTAAAAAAGACTTAGGAGTAAGGTATAAACTAAAAGACTAGGCTGAACTGATTTATGATCACGCAACTGACACTCTCACATCGACTCTTACTTAAAACTCCGTAAAGGACTGTCCTCTTTCACGTCCTTGCACCCTTATTTAAATCTTGCACACTATCCTCTTTCATACTCATGCTCTCTTTTTCAATCACGCATTTCTCACAACCTCGCCTTCGGTGGGTCACGTACCCTAAACACTCAGATGCATTTCACTTTTCACTTGCATTCGATACTGACATAAATATCCCGTTCATCCGATCCTTACACGCGGTCACTCGTCCTCCCGCACGCACTCCAGATAGCACTCTAAACATTCGGCCTGAACCCTAGGCTGCTGTTTATTGCCCATCATCAGTTAGATAGGCCCAAGTGTTCCCTTGCATTCACTTTCAAACCCTAGCATTCCTACATATATATTTGTTATACCTGACATACGACTGCTTGCATTATTATGTGATCTTCCACTACCAGCTGTATTAGTATTACTTGTATTTGCAAAATGATCAGCTGCTGACACAAATTGTCTTATCAATATTCTTGGTAATACACCAGTTACTCCAGATTTAACTTGTTGACCATGAAGATTACAAGTTGATACACGAATTGGGGATATCCAAGTATGAATGGTAGTTCCCACTTCTTGGAAATATAAATCAATTGCATCTATTGCTATTCTTGTCATTCTATATTTTATATCTTCAGAACTAGGACATCTGTAACAATATTATAATATTAACATTTTCAACAAATTTGTAAATATAAGGAATTATTCCATACCTGTAATGTTTGTCAATATCACTATCAGGACATTGTAAAGGTGGAATACCATGATGACAATGATGTGGTAAATCTGGAGGACGTAAACTGTTTTCATTATTTTTTACCATTAATAGAAATGTTTCCAAAGATATAATAAGATGATGTAATTGAGGAGAACTCATTTTCCCAGTTAATTTTCCTAATTGTAGTTCAATTAACCATGCATACTCCAAAGTTTCTTGATCTAAGCTTCTTCCTTCATTACTGAACATTGCATGTCCTCTGACTTGCAATGCACTTAACATTAGATGGCCTTGATTTAAATGACGTTCTTTATTCGAACGGACAACATTATCGGTAATTAATGCGATTGCGGGCGACAGAAGTAGTTGAAGTTCTGTTTCTTTGTATTTCTTCTTCATCTCAAATCCAAATCGTTCTAAGAGTATAACTGGGCAAGGGGGATCATACTCGCCACAATTTTTTACTAAATGTGCTTGAATATCATGCATAGTAATTCCAACCGTTACTTCTAATGGTCGATAATCTCTTGGATCAAACGGTTTTGATTTTGCATCCTTATCTTCTACAGATTCAATGCTACTATTTTGCACATCCCTGTCTTTACTCCTTTCTGTACTTATAGATGTAGGATTTGTTCGACTTTGCTGCATATCAGTAAATGTTTGATAATCACCAAATAGATTTTCTTTTAAGTGCATAAAATTTTTTAAAAGTGATCCATATAAAATCAAAATAGATGGACCTATTTCAAGATCTAAACTAACTTTATCAGGAGCTATAGATTGCGGATCAAATTTCTGACTACCATTTCTTGTCCACTGAAGGCCTGGTGATTTCCTGCATCGAGGAATTCTCATTGGAGATAAAAGAATTTCTTCTTTTTCTGGAGTTGTTATATTTGCTTGTGGGGTAGGTCCTAAAGGTGGACATGGATGATATGTATAATTGATACTTAATGCCACAATTGGTACAGACCAACAATCAACCCAACCTGTTCCTTTTTGACAAACATTTCTCCACTTCTTATTTTTATTTAATTCTGATAGATATATATGTGATCCATCACGTGTCATAATCTTTGCATTTTTATTCAAAGCTAACAGAATTGTACGACTTGTATTGACTTCGGGTAAATAAAATGAGAGGTCTACACTTTCACCTTGAATCCAAAAACGCAAAGGTATTGTAATGGGCAAATAATCCACAAATGGAAGATCAAATGATAGTTCAAAAAATTCCCCACAAAAAGCAATGTGCGTATTTTCTTGATTCTGTGATGAACAATCAATCCAATTATATTCATTACATAATGTAATTAATTCAAATTCTTTTAATAATAAATTAAATTTCCACGTATAAGGTACAAAATGCAAAATGTCAGGTCTGACTTTACTGGCCCAATCGTTAATCATATCTTGAAAAAACTCTTTGTGCGAATAAACTAAATTAGCCGTAGCTTTACACCCAGTCAAATTTAATGTCCATTCTTGATGATCATTCCACCTTATTGGATAATGACATTTGACACCAAACTCTAATGTTTCGCTTTCAACTAAACTTCGGTATTGTAGACTTGTAGTTGCTTCTAAATGTAACAGTTGACCTGTTATTTTTGTAGTATATCCATCTTGTAAAACTATCCATGGCATAGTGATTTCTAGATATGATCCTGGCCCTACATTAATATGAACTGCATTTGTTTCCCTGTTTTTACTAAAGAGTATATCAATTGTAGCTTCATTCAATGTTGACAATCTAATATCAAATGATTGAACTTGTCTTTTTTCTCCAGTGACGGGAGTTTTTGTAACTTTCAATGGTTGGTAATCATTAGGGAAAAAAAATTTAAATAAATGTTCTCTTTGTCTATCAGCCCAAGGTCCATAACTAAAATCAGTGCCTTTCCCACATTTAATATCAATACCCCAGATTGGTGGCATAGCTTCAACCATGTCTCCATTTACTAACTGGATCATTTGTGGATGTTCAGGGACAAATCCAGGTTCATCCATATAATAATAAACTTCCATGTTGTTTGAGCTTAATACAACGAATCCCTCTCCCATATATCTAGGTGGATCATCCACCATCCCTGTATACTTTGGACTAGGTGCTAAAATAACTTTGAAATTTTCTGCTTTACATTTTGTAAAATGCATAAAATGATCATATCGAGATGCTGCCGGTTTCGTAGAATATACAAAATGCGCTTCTTCCACAGTTATTGATAAGGTCGTTGGTATTAAACGATTACCAAATACCAATCTCCCCTAAAATAGTAGAACATTTTAAATAACTCCAAATGGAAAAACATTAAGAAACTATTTATATACTAACTGTGCAAACATCCAATTTAATAACAGGTATTAAATCTCGCCATGTTCGAGCTATAACATGAGCTTCTTTTTTCCTAATATTATCAACATGACGTGAAACATCCATTGCATTTATCTGTTGACGCGTTTCATGAGCAGTATTATTAAATGACTCTGCATCACAATCATCACTATTAATATTATGATTTTCTTCATCAGAAAACATTTGTGGTGTAAGACCAAATGTTTTTTCTAATTGTGCATATAGCTGACAGCGATTATAAACATGCAGTTCAAAACCATTTAACATAACTGAAAGTCGTGTATCGGAATGTGAAAGATCTAAACAAAAATATTATTAAAAGTTTGTATATAAATTTATGAATTATACTTTCAGCCGAATATTATATAATTTACTTGATATAGAATACCTTCAGATACATCTTTGGGAACATAACTCCTCCACCACCTAAATATAAGCCAACCATCTTGTACTCTGAGACTGTAATCTGTTGTGATATAAACTATATCCCTAAACATTATTTTTCCACTTAATGCACTTAAAGTAAAAGACCCTAAAAATAAACAATACACTTATAAGTATATAACAATAATTATTTTTATAAATATAAAAATATTATTATTAATTTATAATTAATTTCTAAATATATGTACATTAATATACAATATTTATTTCTTACCCACTTTAACATATCCATCTCTAATAACAAAACGATTTAATAATTTTGTTAATATATAACCAATGACTCTGCTATTATAATAAGCTATATAAATGATCCATGAAATAGCAGACACTAATGAGCAAAGTAAATATATAAAACTACTATCCATCTTAAGGTCATCAAGGATGACATGATCGGAATAATTCCAAAAAGCTGGTTCAATTCCAGAGAAAGATGGAACTGTAGCATTATATAGTTCGTTCTCCTCCATGATGATTTTGATGTTTTATTTCAGAATCAAGAAATATTAGCCATTTTGCAATTAATCACTAAAATCATAAAAACAATATATTTATGAAAATGATAGAAATATAAATACTCTTCCTTTGTATACCTAAAGTATCTTGTTTCCTATTCCAAAAATATACACAATAAATAATCTATAATAATTTATCACTTTCAATTTTAATATTTGTTATGATAGTATCGTTAAATTTTCACTAATTTTCAAAAGTTATTACATAATTGAAATAAAAATCTTAAAAAGAAGAAGTTTGTAAACATAACCTAATGACCTAACTATAATTAAAAACATATTTTGTAATTTGTCCAATAATTTTCTTAAATATACTATTTTATATATTCAATAGTTTGATTTTTATCATAATGTTATTAGTCAGTGAAATGTTATCTATTAATGAATAAAAAATTATATTTTTTAAAATCTGTTATCAACATAAAATATTTAGATAAAAGATAAAAGAGAAAATTTGTATTTCATTATAGCTTTATCGATACTTTGAGTTATTTAAATGATTATATAATTTCATGAATAAATGTTAAAATGAACTAATTTATTCAATTAATTTACCTTTATTCAATACTTATATAAGAATTACATTCAATTTTTGTTGTGTCACTCATGGTTTTATGTTTATCAGTACATCACTTTTAATAGATGTCACAGAACTGTCATCGATGGACAGCAACACACATAACCACACCATAGTTGACTACTGCCACTAACTATAGAGTTGGTAATGATATACTAAGCCTTACTATTTACAAGATTTAATATCTACAATCTTCAAAAAATGCCATCTACTACATTTTTCAAATATTTTAATAATTATTATTATAATATTTACGTCAGTAAAGCAGTTCGAAGATTGGCAAAATAGTACACTGTAATATAATATTTTTAAAAGTAATAATATATATATATGCAATAATTTTCATTATAATATCATACTATTAATTATGTGTAATATCGTAATCTAGTATATAAAAATAAATTATTTTAAAAAAATATATACATTCTATTATTAATTTGTGGAAAGTACTTATTCATTAGTGTCAATGTTTATATATAAAATTACATACCTATATCTACACAATAGCATAGAATAGATCAATCATAATTAAAAGTTTACATTTATATATTTATGTTTACACCTTAATAATTATAATTATTATTATTTTATGGGAACAGAATTCTCCCATGTAATTATATATTAAGACATAACTATCTTGTATTAATTAATTATTGAATAACAATATATTTTTACAATTAAATTTAAAAAATGTATAAACATATAATTTTTCGGTCAAATTTCGATAAAGTAATTTAATAAGAATACGTCTACATCTCTATATAATTAAAAATCAAATTTAATAGAATAATAATTATTAAGCAATTTACTATGTTCTAAGAAACAAAAATTATTTCATACCATATTTTCTTTTATCGAATATTTTGAATTATTGAATGTTGAAAGGATATTTTAGTACTTTTATTATACTACAATTTGTAATTTGATTAAAAAAAAAATAACTTGTTAATATAAGATTCGTACATGAATCAATTTCATTATTTTTTAGGATAATATTTGGTTTTAACATATTTTAATTTCGATCATCAATGATGTTATAATCTTATTGTAATCGATTTTATGGTAAATGGATAACGTTGGAAATAACAAAAATAGTGAGGAGATGTGAATTTTCAGATTATTTGACATAAAGATATCTTAGATGTAGATCTATCGTAAACTTTGTCTATGGTGCATCGTATAAAAATCGTATATCGTGCGCGGTTAAATAGAATTGATCTAGAAAAGAATTAATTTTTTAAAACATTTTTATTTATACATTCTTTTTTTCGTTTTTGAAAGATTTTTTATTTTTATGTAATTTATATTATTTGTTTTAGATTTGTAAAATGACACGTGAGTAATTAAATGCTTTATAAAGTCTGCAAATAACGGTTCAAATAACTTAAATTATATTTGTTTTTATCAAAGTTCTTATTTTTATATTATGATGGAAATAATTAAAAACGATCTATTATCCTTTTATTAATTTTAGGTTTGTATGTTTTTTTTATTTTTTATTTTTGCTATGTTTATATAAAAATTTAATTTAAAATCATATTTATATTAAATTTTTAGTTTGACGTAAATGTATAAATTCTTATTACATTCATGATATGCTTCATTGTGGATATAATTAATATTTTATAATCATGGAAAAATCGACAGATATATTTTCATGGACTTATGACTTACAGTGCCCACCAACAATATTCAATAATGTAGTGAAGAAAACGTTTGTATAATTTTATACATTATTTCATTATTGCATGGTATAAATGATATTAATTGCATGATAACTATATGTTTTAAATATTAGTTATATATTCTGTGTGATAGATTATATTCAGGTCTTGTTGGATTCATGTGGGATGATTTATCTGATGTTATATTTAATCCCAAAAAAGCAAAGACAATACAAAAAAATATTTTACTATATCATTTAAAACAAGATAAACCTAACAAAGTTATTCAATGTATGAGAAATATATTGCAACTAAAGTTGAATAAAAATGATATAAAAAATCAAATATCTAAGTTAGAAAAAGAATATGAAGAACAAGATTTTGCAGTTAGACAGAAAGGTATGTTATTAATGAAAATACAATAAAGTACATATTTAATACATATTGTTGTTTAGTTCAAAAAGTACGAAATATTTCATCAAAGCGTTCTGAAAAAAGAGCAAGAAGAGATTTACTTAAGATGAAATATGATCAGACTAATACACAACTTCATGATTGTGATAATATGAAATTAGTTTATCAACATTTAATGCCAGGAATTTGTAAAGATGTAGATCATAAAGTATTAATGGAAATGTCAAATGTAGTGACAAGTCTTTGGACTAGGGCAAATAAAAGAGAGGTATATATTTGTGTACTATTTAAAATAATGATAATCATAACTGTTATTCAGATTATATTCTTATAACCTAAAGGTAAGCATGTACTCCTATAATCTATAGGTGTGGGATATAGTATCAAGTAATTTTGATCACATTGAAATACCTACATTATGGCATCATTTATACCAAAGTGTGACAAAAGCTGTAGACACATTAACTGCATCTCAAATTATGCAACCAATGGATTCAAATAATATAAACATAAATATTGGTATTACCAAAATGTATGGACATCATATTTCTATGGTTTCTAAACGATTATTGTATAATGCAAAAGCAAATAATCATCAGCGAAATGTTATGGAATTTATAGAAAAGACTGAAGTATGATAACTATTACTTAAACATTAAAAATAATTGCAGATTAAAGTTAGTTTTCATTTCAGACAGCTTCAAATAATTCTGTACGCATAAGTGAATGGTTAGCATTAGCATTAGAAGTCTACAAATTAGAAGTTGAACAAAAATATCTAATGAAAGAAGTTGAGAAAATACAAAATGATTTGCATGAAAATAATATATTTGCATCCGATTTAACAGAATTAACTTTAGAAATTCAAAACACCCGTACTGAAATTGTATGTTATTATTGTATAATTATGTGTTAGTTTTCATCTAATGTACATATATAATCGTTTTTGAATTAATTTTCAACTAATTATAGGCAAAATATATACAAGAGATACAGCAGTCATTACAGATTTTAAAATCTGCACCAATATTTATCACAAAAACAAAAGAAAAAATAAATTTGGAATTACAGAAAATAATAATGATGCGAACTGATGGTTATGATACTAAGATGTTAAAAAGTGATTTAACTACTGAATTGGATATATTTCATAATACTTTAGACCTTAATGCTTTAAGAAAAGTCATGTTAAAAGGGGAAATTGGAATTTATAGGTCAGATTACTTCTATATTATACAAGTTTATTATTGAATTTTCTACATCGAAAATAAAAAATGTAAATTAATTAATATATCATGTAAATATTCCAGATATACAAAAAGCTGCTTCAGTGAAGCTTCTATTCCAATTACTAATTCCCAACTTTCAAATATTAAGTTATATTTTCCCTGGATTCAGACACCAATATATTTTTTAATAGAGTGTTACAAGAATTTAATTTCAATGCTTCTGTATAAAAAATTCGAAACTTTGGAAGCTGAAAATAACGAGGAAAATACAAATTTATTTCATTTACCTGCATTAACATACAATGAAAATAATTATAATACAATTGATCTTTTGAAGTTATCAAAAATTATCAATACGAAAACAAGAACAGAAATTGATGAATTTAATGAACTTTTAAATGCTTGGTATGTGTATAAATTATAATTATTGGTTTTATAATTACAATTACAGATATTAATTGATTTATTACTAATAGGGTGAATCAACCAGTTCAAAAGGTAATGGAAATTATTGAAAAAACTGTAGATGATATATCTTTTTCGGAATGGATTGAACGCTATGATTTATTATTATATATGTTGCACAATTCTACATTGTATTATGTTCATAAATAAATCGTATTGTTTGTAATAAAGCATTTTTATGGCATAAAACAATAATATATAATGATATAATATTTATGTACATAAATTTCTGACAGTAAATTTTATAATATTGAAAATATATATATTTTTTATATTGCGTAAAAAGATATTTATTTCATAAAAATTCTTTGAATGAAATTCATATATAGACATGTAAGGTGTCCCATTTAAATTGAACATATATTTTCGTTGATATTGAAAATAAAAAAAAATAACTAAAGAGAGTTTAGATAACTGTAAAGTGTATATCTAATCATGATAAATAAAGTCCTCTCAAGATTATCTTGAATATTATTTTAAGGTTATCGACATTTTTTGCATATATTAATAATTTTAACAATATTTATACAATATTTTAGTTACTGTCATCAGTAATTTTTTATTACCCTAGTATGTACGAAATATTTGCCAAAACAATGATGGCGGGCTTTTATAGTTGTAGCACAATTTCTATAAGAAACGTGTTTGAGTAGTTTGCGAATTCAGTATAATAATAATTACGATTTTATACTTTTATAATAAAAGAATTTAATTTATTGTAAGATAAAATGCTATCAACTGTTTTGAAGGCTGTATTTGGTTATGATGACTTTAAAAGTGATATACAAAAACGAGCAACCACTGCTATATACAAAGGTTAAATATTTATTAATGTCATTTGCAGCAAATAAATATGTAGTTTATTTATTTATTTGTACACACTGAAAAGTCTTTTTCACTTTTAGTATTTTTAAACAGATTAATATTAAATATTTCTAGGCCAACAAGATGTATTTGTATGCATGCCAACTGGATCTGGCAAATCACTTTGTTTTCAATTACCAGCTTTAATGAAAGAAGATAAAGTTACAATTGTTTTTTCTCCATTATTAGCTCTAATGAAAGTATGTATATATACCTATATTAAAATATTCATTGTATACAAAACATGTACATAGTAAAAAAAAATATGAATTATATAATATTAATTTATTATTATAGAATCAAGTAGACTTTTTAATTAGTAAAAAAATTAATGCAAACTCATTGAACTCAAACACAACTACTAAGGAAAGAAATGCAATAATGAAAGATTTGACATCCAATTATCCAAAGATCAAATTGTTATATGTTACTCCTGAAATGGGAGCACAACAGCATTTTCAAGTACATCATTCATTTATAATTATATATATTGTAATGAATATTGTGTAACTGTTGAAATTATTTTTCTATAGGACATAATAATAAAATTAAGGAAAGCAAAAGCATTATCTTATTTTGTTGTTGATGAAGCTCATTGTTTGAGTCAATGGGGTCACGATTTTAGGCCTAGTTATAGACAATTAGGAATATTTAAAAAATTATGTCCCAATATTCCAATAATTGCATTAACAGCTACTGCTGCAAAAGAAGTAAGTATCTTACAAATTTGAAGTATTGACAATAATTTGAAATATAATTACCATCAAATTTATCTTTGTAGGTAAAAGATGATATACTCCAGTGCTTAAATATGAAAAATCCAGCAATATTCTCAGTTCCTGTTTTTCGTTCCAATCTTTTTTATGATGTGTGGTTTTTGGAAATATTGGATAAGCCCTTTGATCATTTAAAAAATTTTATTATAGAAACTCTTGGTTCTCAAGACAAATCTATTCCCAAAGTAAGTCATGGTGTATAATAAATCAGTATGTGTATCTATGTGTATATGTAATGTACTAAGTTAAACAAAAAAAAAAAATAATTATAGGTCAAAAGAAGTTGTGGCATTATTTATTGTAGAAAAAAAGAAGCAACTGAAGTAATTGCACATAAATTGTCCAGTTTTGGTATACCTACTTTAGCATACCATGCAGGTATATATTATGTTAAATATTTATGAAAATAGTAATAATAGAGTGAACAGTAAAATATAAACAATTATTTCCACAGGTTTAAAAAATCAGGAACGTAATGAAGTTCAAAATAAATGGACATCTGGTGATGTACCTGTTATTGCAGCAACATGTAGTTTTGGAATGGGTGTGGATAAAGGATCTGTTAGGTAAATTACTTTATTTCATAGGAAGTGTATATCATTTTTATTGATATTTCATTGTTATAACATAATTTTATATATAGATTTGTAGTACATTGGACAATTCCTCAAAATATAGCAGCATATTATCAAGAATCTGGTAGAGCTGGCAGGGATGGTCAACCAGCATTTTGTAGAATTTATTTTAGTAATGAAGAATATGCACCTATTGCATTTCTTATTAAAGAAGAAATAACGAAAAAAGATTCAGAGCTTGTAAAATTAAGATGGAAAAATTTTGAGAAAACTGTTTCTTATTGTCTTGAAACGAAGTAAGAAATATTATATGTTTTATAAATATTTTTTTTTTTAATAAATATATGTTTAATACATTCCATAGATGTAGACATGCAGTATTCTCTAAGTATTTTGGAGATAGTCCACCATTATGCAAGGATAGGTGTGATGTATGTAAAGACAAAAATATTGTCCAGTCAAGGATATCCCAATTTGAATTGTCTCAAACTACATCACGAGTATCTCAAACTAAATCTAATAATAATTTAAATGGCATTGCTTTACCAAAGTATGATCATGAGTGAGTAATATATCTTATAAATATAATTTCATACATTTTTTATGAAACTGTAATTATCTCAGCCTTAATAATTTTAATATACAGTGAAAATGAATATGAAGAAAAATTAGTTTCAAGAGAAAAGCTCTTAGCTGAAGATAAACGAGAAGTTCAAGAATTAATTGAAAAACAATTTGCTATTCGAAGAAATAATAAAAACAACGAGGTAAATATATATAAAAGCTAAGTTTATATATTATTTTAATATTTATTCAATCATTATGCTATTTCAGTTAAAAAAACAAAATCGTGAAGATGCAAAAAAATCTCATGTTCGCGCAGCGGAAAGTACTGACGTAAAAATAAAGGGATTAGCTGTTCAAGTTCGTGAACATTTTTATATTCAATTAAAATCAGCATTACTGGATAATTATGAGAAGAATTTTTCTGAATCTGAAGGACAGATTCAGGAGGCTGATATACATAACATAGCATACGAACTTGAATATAAAGTGTTATGCAATAGTAAAATTGCAAATAAATATAAATTTGATATGTCTAAATTGGTATGTAATTTAGTATTTTCTACCCATATAATAGTTCAGTAACTTGAATTGAATTTTTTGATAAATACAGATTTCTTTGGTACGAAAATGTACCAGTACTAACACATTGCATGAATATTTACGTGATTTTAATGCAACTAATAAACAGAAGGTGCAATCAGAATATTGTAACGAGTATAGCAATAAAGAGGAAGAAAATAATAGTTATTTAATACAAGATATAGAAGATCGAAGTATGTTAGATAAACAAACAAATAAGAATATGTCGTGCCCTACATTTAAGACTGCTTTAGAACTTAAAAAGAATGAACAATTATTGGAAAATAAATCTAACAACAATAATAAGAAATATACATTAAAAGCAAGCACTTTACAAGATGATAATGATGCCATTAACATGAGAGAACCAAAACATAATATCAATAAAAATTCTTTCCTCTTTTTTGAACATAGTGCTGCTGAAAAAAGTAATGGTGTAAAAGAATATAGTAGAAAAATTAATGAAAAAGATAAAGTTACTGATTTTCAAATATCAAGTGGTTTCACTTGTGCACGAAAAATTCATGAGGAAAATGAAATGGTATTATGCAATAAAAAACCACAAAAGTCTTTGAAGGAGCCTGGAAAAAAAAATTCCAAAAACAAAAAAGAGTCTCCTACAAAGAAATCAGTTTATGAACAAATTTTACAATCTGCAAAATCGAATCCCATTGTTACAGTTGCGGAAAATAACGATAGTACAAATATTAAGGTTTCAATAGAATCAAAACACCAAAGTAAAAGAAAGCATAGAAATGTAGATCTATTTAAAAATAATTCAGATATGGAATTAAATAAAAAGGTGAAACTTAATGAAGAGAAATTTCCTATAATTAATGTGAAAGAAGATACTACTATTAATGAATTTAGTGTAAATGAGACTTTTGTTAATAAAAATAATAAAATTGATAATGATAATATTGAAACTCAGGATGTTAAAAATAAAAAAGTATACACAATAATAAAAGATATGGTAAAAGAAGAAAAATCTAAAGAAAAAACTACAGTAACTGAACATACAGAAACAAAAAAATTATTAGAAGGAAAATGTGATAAAAAGACTCGTCTGAAACATCATATAGGAAAAGATAAAAAGATACTTGTAACTGCTGATAAAGCTACTCAGTTTAAGACTGTAGAAATTTTAAAATCATATTTAATGAAATATTATCCATCTGAACGTATTCCTGATCGAACGACATTTTCAAAAACATGTAGGGAGATGCATCATACCCTACTTGCTCAAAAAATATTTGGTAAAGTATAATTTTAAAAAATTTTTAAATCATATTATTCAACTTGAATTAATAAGTAATTGTTTCAGATAAAGAGGGAATACAGAAATTTGTTCTGAAATATATGACACAAAATTAATGTTTTTTTTTTTTATCAAAAGTGTTTATTTGAGAATAATATAATAACCATTAAGCAAAAAAATTGTGTATATATATATGTATAAACATGGAATCATAAGTTGATTTAGGAATCTAATTTATTCATTATGTTAAACAAACTATTTTATATCTCAGCGATCATTGATAATTAAGTACAAACATATAGATTAAAGCACGAAATTTTGAAATATAATTATTGCTTTTTTTATTAGAAATTTTTATACCTGAAAATGTATCTCATTATTTATATATATCTAGAATTAAAAGTTCAATCTGTAATTAAGTGTATTATGTTTCATATACGTATATATGAAAATTTTATACAATATGGTTTATAATTTTATTTAGTACCCAATATATTATAATATTAACCTTATTTTTAATTTGCTTTTTATGATTTGAACAAAACACAAATTTATTAAATATTCTTTACTTTTTAATAGAAAAATAACCAATTTTGTTATAAACATTATTTATTGAGCAATTCTTATAAATACTTATATTATAATCATTTCATTGGCAAGAATTACAGTATTTGTGTAAGGAATATAATAATTGTTTGTATATATTATATAGAATATAGAACTGAAGGAAACAGAACTCATATATACAATTAGCTAAAGGTGTATTTTATATTTTTGTTTAGTTAAATATTAAGAAAATACGTTTTATAGGAACATATTTATTTGCATATTATAAGAATACTGTTTCCTTAGTTAACTACAGCTATTAATTAAATTTATAGTTAAGGCAAGACTGGTGAAATTTAAAAAAAAAATTCTTAGCTAATAATTTATAAATTAAAGAGTTCCAACATACATTTTTCTTTTTTATGTTAGCACATAATATTTTCTACAAATTTTATGATTTTTCTTCTCTGTCTACAATTATTTATAAATCCTTTAATTCTGATATTACTCTGTATGTCATATGGAGATTCTCAAAACTCATAACCAATGAAAATACTACATAAATTGAAAATTAAAAATTAATATTCTATGTACAATATTTACAGATAGAAAATTGATACAAATAATCTAATATAAGAACGTAATTATGCCTAAAAAAATAATTTAATTCTAAGTTTACAATTATAAGCTTTCTTTAGAATACAAATTTTTCATATTAAAAATAACTAGTTCATTTACTCAAAATTAACGGAAAAATGTGAAATTACGGAATAAATACATTCTTGACAGATTTTCATTATTAGATACAAATATGTAGAATTATATCTTATAATGAAGTTATCTAATTGCATTAAAACTTCTAGTATCATAGATAATACAAAAAAGATTGTAAAATATAACCATAACATACTTCAAAATTTTCTATATGATATAATACTTTTAACAGCCCTATTTAATATACATAATAACTTATCAATTATTAAGAATATATTATTATGGTACTAATAAATATTAAACGAAGTAAACCATAACTACAGAAAGTTCATCCCCGTTACCGTTTTTCTAAATCTATATTTTAATTTCAATTACAAACGGTGCAATTCAAAATTGTTATTTTTTATTATATTACATTCATTTTACTCGTAACACAATTAGGTATCAACTGTTTCGTGCTTTTGTTTTGATTTAAATCTACTATAAATCACTTAATCACTATACCAGTCTATAATATCAGTCTTAATGCAATCAATCATTTATATAAAATTGTGTAAATGATTATTGAATCCTCTTTTTCGTTCTCTTTTCTCTTGAAACGCACAAACCTTTGTGTGAATTTTATAACTAAAATAAAAATTTAAGCTTCCACTATTATAAAAAACTGTTTAAACAAAATTTTTTTAATAACAATACATTTTGTATATGTACGTGGTAATAGAAACATCATTGTTCCTGAATTAGCACCGTTTGCATTGACATATATACATTAGTCAGAAAATTTAGCGTAAGATGTCACTGCTTACCATGTTATAATTGCACTCGAATACAATTCATGTTAAATGAAATATGAAATTGTATACTTATTCTATAATTAGAATCCAATTATAATAGATAAATTGAATTTAAATTTGATCGTATTATTGCCGATCAGGTTTAAAAATATTTAAGATAAATACTCTCAGATTCTAAGAGTACTTTCTTACCTATCGATATAGATTTCGACTTTTTGTTCGTATCGATTGCGATATTACGAAATCTAAAACGATCCGTTGAGCTTCATTACTTTTGAGTGTTAGTTTTACGTGGAAAATAGCCTCTATCTAGAGTTCTAATCGTGCATTAATAGTCACACAATTTCTTGTTTTAAAGACGATACTTCCGTATTCCCTTCAGATATTGTATTCATATCCTTAGATTCGATTAATGAACTATAGTAAGTGTCCATTTCGTTAATCTTATGCGATATTTGCCTATTGTTAAAAAGTTGCAATTTTTTGTTTTGTATTCCAGAATCCAACCATTGTCGAGGTAATATTGATCCTTTTGGCTTGTACAAAAAGATCTTGTGAACTCCAAGAGCTACAAGTACAATGCTAACGATGAACAAGGAATAAATCAGGACATCTTGAAGAACTGGTAAGAAATTTAAGTAAAACCAGAAACGAATTAACATCGATGTTGGCAATTCATTCATTCCCTAAAAAAAATAAAATATTTTGAAAATTAGATACTTCTTGGAATAAAATTTATTATATTTACTTAATTTAATCGCAATTCGATTTATTTCTGTACTTACGATTTCAAACCACAGCAACGGTAAAACAAGATTTTCGAATTTTTCTACTGCAGACACATATCCGATATTCTGTAAAGCCATATTGATTTGGAAACGGAAGGCAAGTTTTACCGGTAGACCTGATTTTGGTTGTACATAGGCAAAAGATTCGTGAAGATCACGCCTTGGATTCAAGCCTTCGACAGCTTCCAAAATGGTTGGATCGGCCTTATAGAAGTGTGGATATGAAAGTGCGATGGGAAATCCTGCATGATCGTAAAGGTAAGTGACCAACGTGAATGTACACAATTTCTTTCTCTAATATATCAATAATGATTATTGATATATTATTGTATAATTTATTTATGTGTATTACTTATGTGCTCTATGTCATTTTTAGTATCCCATTAATATGGAATATCGATGTTACTTTTATGGTTTAAATTATCTTACCGTAATAGCAATCGGTGACATCAATTAAACCAGCTTTTAAGCAGTATCCATGCCGACAGAAACACTTGTTCTCTGGGTTATGGACGCCATTATCCAATATGTTTTCGACGAATTTGTATTCGTAGGTGTGCAGCCCTTTTATGAATGTCTCTCCAGTTCGAGTCTGCAAAATTATATTTCAATTTCGTTTACTATATCTTTTGGTAATAAATATTTTAGAATATTTTATATACTATTTATTGCATCGTTGGCGTACAACTTTCTTGCAATATTTCATATGGATCGCTATTTTAAAATTGATAATCGAAGATTGGCGATTATTAATGGTAATTCATAATAGTACTAGGACTTCTCGAGATATTACAAAATCGTTTGAATACGCAATTCTTTGGTGCTTGGTACGTGGTATGTACTAAAGTACAACGTACCATGTAGGCACTGCGACAGAGACTCTTCCTAAAGAATAATATTGTATCGTTTGGCTGAATGAAACTCGGAAACTTTGCTCCATCACTGGCCCCGTTCACATTCGCACACTTTCCTGTCCATTGCGGCAGATTTACATTGCCATTAAACTTTTCAATTAGTCCTGTGCGATGTATGTCATTTTTGCCGGTGTAAACGGTTACATAGTCGCCATCAAAGTCGTACATCTGTGTGTAAAAAGAAGCCATATTAAAATCTCGATAATATGCAAATATATAGTTGAGATTCAATCCGAGGTAGCAAATTTGAGTAGTTTGCCTTACACTTTTTGAAGATATTTTGTGAGAATTTTGTTATGAAATTAAAAAAGAAGAACGAAAGTAGAGATATTTTATTTTTGGGTTGATTGCGATTAACTCTTCAACGCGATTTTGCAGTTTTTGGAAGAATTAAGCTGATGAAGTTATGGAATTGACACTCACTCTATCAATGAGACCCAGCTTATCGAATTTGATCCAAGATGGCATTATTTTATTGCCAACAGTAACAAGAGTGGATTTGTAACCGAACATGAATTCCTTAGCAGTCATCTTGACCAAAGGACGAGAATCCGTTTGACTAACGAGGAAAGTTAGTCCCAATCTAGTAAAATATGCAGAATTCCTCATTACATTTGTAATACTCTGAAACAGAAAGGAAAAGTTATTTTATAGCTGTGTGTATTTATCTCATTACATTAAGATACTAGAAGATAAACAGAAACATATTTCTTCGTTATTTGTTTTCGAAGCGAATTTCTTTCTTTCTCGTCTATTTTTGATTGATGGCCGCGTAAATACATATAGGAGCACCTGCCATTCAAGTCTGCGCTACTTATTAATTAACGTCATTTTCTTTTCTCCTATTTGCAGACTTGTCGATTTTCGAATCGCGACATAATTCATTTTCTTTGTTATGCAGTACTATATACCGTGGCCGACGTGTGCTACAATTAATTAGCGATAATTCATTGTCACTAAACATTAAAGAAAACCATTGTTCATTTCTGTATCTTGTCGTAATTGACTTCATTATACCGTTTCGTTTTGCCATTCTATCGATCATCTATCGTTCTCCATTCAGATGCGAACAAAGCGACTCACAGAGTTTCAGTGATCTCCATTTTCTGCCTGAAAGTTCATTGACGCCCGTTGTAATTAGCTACTGCCGTTTACCAATGTACACTGCCAGTGGATCTTGTACGCTTTCAGTCAACATCCTCGTTAGCCACATAGATATGCATGCATGCGCGTCGGTACAAGTGTTATATAAGGATGCTCTTTGACGAATTGTGTCTTGTTGTATTTCGATCGTCTTGAACAATTATTGCGATGTTTTTACGAAGAAATTCCATTTTCGATTTCATCTCCATTCTCCAAGGATTCTTTCACTTAACAACTACCACAACACTTTAGACAGTTTCCTCGTCTTTTAAAGTGACTATTGTAAAGAGTAAATTTGTTCTTCTTTAAATCGTGAAATAATTTTTCAATTTCCGATTTTCGATGTTCTCTCCTTTTAATATTTCTCAGGATACGAGGTATATAATTTAGATTTAAATACTATGTAGTGTTAATTTGTTGACTGGTATCCTTTTTCTTTCATAATATTGATTAGTTGCCTATGTTGTTCAAACACTCTTTTAGTTGACAATGTTCATTTCATTGTAATCATTTTAAACAATTGCACCATGATCTCACTGAGAAAGCAAGTTCCGGTCAGGGGTGACCAACGTGGCAGTCAATGTGTTAATAGATGCATATGTGCAACAACGGAAATCAATGATTAAGCGATTAAGTGGAAATGTTCGTCCATCTTTTCTACCATAATAAAAACATTCTATCTACTGGATATCTTGGCTTTGATTATAGATGTTTGTTCGCCTCCTTTCTCTTGTACGAAGTTGCAGATAAAGAAACTATCAGGACGTAATAATGGTGAAAGTAAATGATAATTGGGTTACATTTAACTTGGATTGTTCATTGGTTAATAATCATGCAATATGCATAAGTTTCTAATTGGGTGCTTTATCTTTTCCCGATTACACTCCCCTCAATGGTAGACGCAATGTTTTAATACTACACCATTCTTTATAAAGTCACCGCAGTTGGGATATGTAAGTAATCGAATTAAGTATGTTGTTATATTTCTCAGCACCGAAAGATGTATCGATGGTAATTTAAATTTAATCCTTATAGACAATTTGCGTAAATTTTTCCCCAAAAATAAGAGGGCCTAGAATGTTCAGGATTTGGCGAGGCATTTCTTGGATTCGTTAGAACTCTATGCTTTCTCACGTCGGACATGATGCACTCGTTAAGAATGTCTTCGTGCATGGAATGGAAATTTATCCTGCACGCATCGACGACCGCGGTTTTTTTTTCGAATGCAGTGCAATTCTAGGGAAGCAAAGATGTGTCAAGTGGAATAATTCGACCAGCGATATTTTTCCGCGTTTCGAGGAAATTTTCTTTCGCAAACAGCACGAATACACGTGGACGTTTCGTATACATACTTCGATCTCTAACTTTTGCATTCATTGTAACAGAATATATATCGTAATGAAATTTAATTGCATTGTTCTTCACTGAACAAACGCTTAACACCTTCGTTACTAAGAATAGATTTTCCTCGCGATAGCATTCATCTTTGAGTTTACTTTATTCTACGAGATTGTTCAGTTTCCGTCTTTAGTGTTTCCTTTATTCCTTCGATAAGTGGAAAATTAAAGAAACTAAGACGGATTAAATAGCCTTAAATGTAATAATTTTCTGATGGACCGTATTTAATTATTCTATGTAATTAATGCGTTGAAAGAAATATTTATGTATGTAGCGATGACAGATAAAAAGCAGCAGGAAAGCAACTGAACTCCGAGCATTGAACGACGATTACAAAATCAGTAATTGTAAGTAACGTGCATAATGACGATTATGAAAGCTTCTGTAGGATATTACTTTTATATTCGATTCTTCTTGTCTCCGTTTAAAAATTAATGACTTCATATTGTTCAGCAGAATGTTCCAATGTGTAGGTATCGTCAAAATATTGCTTTCTAATATTGCATGAATCTCTAATAATATTTTACTGATTGCTTTAAAAGGCACGATAAGCAAGATACGTCATATTTTCTTCAATGTTTGAAATGTCACGGTAGCCTTAGTTAATACCGCGGTTGGTAATATAATCCATAATGTTATCGAATGATCCGCAATTTTCGTTATTAGTTTTCTCCTACACATGTGCAGAATGGGAACGTAATTTTTCATTTCCGCTATTTTTTCTCGCGGTGACCCGTAACCTGCTTCATCGACAGACCTTGGATTCTCTGATTAATATCTGATTCGATTTCTACGAAGATGTCATTTGATGGAATCTGACGAATCAATTATTTAAATAACCAGTTTCTCTATTCCCACTTTACATGTCGAAAAGGCCCAATCCTCGATTTCCATTCAATGAGGTAATATTTATATACATATAAATCTGTCCTTAGGTATCTATCTTTCCTTCTATGTTACAAAGTATGTCCCTCGAATCGAATGTTTTCTTCATTCCTGTAGCCAAGTTAACATAGCGTAATTTCTTTTCAATGTGTAGAAAACGGAAGTTTGGTCGTGATACATGTAAAAGAATCGACTCCAATAAATCGTTGACCCTGTTGGCAGACGTTCAACGGTCGGAAACGAGATATCACTGTATTATCCCGTAGTTTTTTCTTATTTTACCCGACGCTGCCATTATTATCGAACGTACCTCGATAATTTTTTTGAAAAAAATCGTACTTATATTGATCGAAAATTTCAAAGTAAATACATCGAATCGACCTTCTTTCGATGATCTTTGTCTTTTTACGTAAGAATGCAAAAAAACAATACAGTTATTCGAGTAAATTATCAATGATGAATGAGTAACTTGTTTGGTAATAAGTTGAATCATAAATATGAGGTTATAAAACTAAAGGAAGAGACTCGAAGATGAATAAACCTTGTACATTCGTGGGGGTCAATTTATTTTCGACATGTATATGAATGCATCACTCTGGTCTCAGTAAATAAATAAACAAGTAACCTCGAAATTTAATAAATTTGTAACAAGCAACAAAATTAATTGCAGTTGATTAATTTAAGCTCGGCCATGACTGTGGTGTAGTTTAATATAATATGTGCATCGTTTATAGTTTATGTCACGCTTGAATTAGTCTGTGATTGCGATAGTGAAATAATAATACTCGATCAATTTATAGCAATCCTTGAAGTTGGTAAAAGGAAGCTAAATAACTGTAATTCAGCAAATTCTCTGGATGACATTTTACAAGGTGCTTTATAATATATTATATTATATACCTTTATGTATTCATAAGTAATTCTATTAATATTTCGTAATGATTTCTGTAAAATAATATCATTTCCTATAATTATTCAATATTCTACAACTTTTATTTGAAAACTTATAATCTATTTGAGAACCAATAAGTAATATTCTTAATGTTTTTACTAAATATCGAATTTAACAAATTTAAGAATTCGAAGCAATTGAAAATTCGAAAATTTTTAAATCTATACATTCGTGAAACGTATAAATTGAAAATTTTAAGGCGCAAGACAAAACTGATATTTAGAGAGCAATCGTATGTACTTCAGACAGTCCAAGGCAACTTTTAAATTTTCTGAGATTGTGTGCATCATGTAATAAAAACATCGAGGTCGTTCACTTAGGGAATTATCCTCGTTATGATTTAACGTGCATACATATATGTCGAGCCCGAAAAATATTACTTTCCATGAATTACGCGAAAGATTCTTATTTCTATTACAACAAAGGTAGTTTCACTTACAAGTAAGGCGATGTTCGGCAATATCAGTTCATCTTCTTCTGTTCCATTGCTCATTTCCGGTATGTACTTCAGTGGATGATTTAGCATCGCCGTCACCGTGTTGTTGTCGTTAAATTGAACGTTTCCGTGTTCAAGCGATTCTCTGAAATTTATGTGTCACAGATATCGTCCTTAAACAGGCTCTAAAAATCAATTTTTATATAGAATGGTCATATTGGAACGAAACGAGATTTCAGACAGGAATATAAATCGTTTGATTAAAATCAAATATCTCAGATAAACTCGATTAATGTATTTCGTTAAAAGGTTTCACTATTGATACCATACGTATATTACTTATGAAACGCCATTTCGTTTAAAATTCCATTTAATCCAATGATAAAATTCCAATCTTATATCTTTCGTAATTAAATCCTAAAATCTATTTAATCTGCAATTATATTTGTATTAGTTAACTCATTAATTGCTAATATTTTTCCTAAAACTTTTATACGCTTCTGTAAACTTTAATCACTCTTTAATGGACCTAATTAAGGTATCGATCTTTCATGGGTCTAAGGTACGTTCAAAGAAAATCCTCCATTCAAAGATTCACGATTCGTCTTAGCAAATTTGATCGTAATATTCTAAGCTTGACATAATTAAATCCCTTAATTTTTATTCACGCGGCCTGATTCGTAGAGTCACGCTTACCTGTAAACATAGGGGCCGACCTCTTGAAATTTCAACTTGCTTTCCTCGCCGGACAGATATTCCAGGGAATTTGTTACATTAAAGAGGTAGACCTTCAGATAAAGTTCAACGTCCGGTTTCCGCCACATTTCGAATATCTCACCGCCTGGGCTGAATATTACCTTCAGTTTGAAAAGTGAGTCGTACGGTTGGAACACAAAGAGAATGCAGCCAGTGACAAGGCCAAGGGATCCCAAAGTCATCAATATGAAAATACCTGTACAATTTTGAGAAATGGACAATCTAGATTAGACAGTTCTGTTATAATTAATTGCTTCTTTATGAGTAGGTAACTAGACTAATTAACGCGATACGCTTCATATTCGCGTGGTTATCGCGAATATACAGTGTGTAAAATAATAATAGATTTACTAATCATATTTCTATAGATACCGAATGTATCTATATTACTGAAAATCTATTATAATATTTATTTCTGCGTTGCAATATATTTTAAGCGAAATAACCCTAGGTTCAATGTAAATTTCCTCATCCTATTTCAAATTTTAATAAAATTTTTAGCAAATACAAATTTAGACTTAAAGGGATACGAGGTTTTCATATAATAGAAATTAGGAAGAAAGATATATGTTTAAGAAGACTCTCTCGCCGAGATTAGGGAACAATATCAATTTTTGTTTCGCTCGTTCGTTAAGAAATACGAGGATTTTAATTTTGAGCTTTATTTCGAGCTCTATTAAAAGAACATGCTCTTATTAGACTGAAACTTAACTCGTAAATTGTCCAGTTTACGACATCCCAGAACAATGACACCAATAACATCTAAGTGTTAAATTTCTAGCAAAATTGTTAGTTCCCTTACGTTGCGTTCTCGTCCTCTGTCGAGAAAAATGTCGAGAAAAATCATAGTTGATATGATAAAATACTTGTCCCAGTAGTTTACAGTATCGTCGTATTCTAACACGTTACCGTAAATTGGAGTTTTCTCGTTCGATCAACGATGCGTGAGATTGTGATCATTTTTATCAAAAGCGATTACAGGTAGGTGTGGCGAGTGGTAAATGCACAAACAAGTTCCACGTCGTGTGCAAGTACGTCATTTGCAGATCAAAAAAGACTTTTTATACCCTGTTTGCTAACCAATTATGTCTCTTGATCACCGTAGACAACGTAAGCAGTTATCTAGCTTTTTGCTCAGCTCGCGTTGCGTAATTTCGCGATGATCTGCTTTTTCCACTCTTTAACAGCTCGCGTTGCGTAATTTCGCTATGATCTGCTTTTTCCCCTCTTTCCCCTGCCATGTATCACGAGTAATATAGTGCTCGAAGGCCGATTTCCCAGTCACGGTCTGGTATTCCAATTTTCCTAAAAGCGTATCCGTGAAATTCGACTTATTTAGCCGTGGCTCGGAACTTCCGATTTGCTTCGAAAATATTGCGTGCCGCGAACGAACATTCGTCGATTTGCATGAGACATACTTGAAATGTTTGGGAATCTCGATTTACTCCGAAATTTTTCGTTTACGTGCGCGCGTATATGTGTTGGGCCGTACGATGAATTTTAAAAGAACACACTTCGTGCGACGAGAAAAATCTTCCGGCCTTATGCCGAGTTTAAGCTATCACGAGATCATCCTACTCCTCGCAAAAGCGATGTCTCGATCGTCGACGCGCCGACGTTTAATAGACATCTATTCGAAAATGTGTTATGCCAATGCTCTTTGTTCAATGTCACGAGATGTCTAAAGTGCATCGTGCTGATGCGGTGGAAATCGTAATATCTCAGGGCTGAGTTCGACGATCGCCCGATAGACCGAATTATATTTCCGGATAATTTAGTATCGATATTATCGATATTGGTATCGGCATTTCGCTTGATCAGGAGGAAGGATTCGAAAGATTCGATAAACGAAGGAGTCAAACAAACGTGATCCTAATTGGTGATTTACGTATTTCAATTTGTTCCTTATCCGGTGAAAAATTCTAATGAATCGTTAGTGGATGGGCTGATCGTGACATTCGACGTGGTTCTGCTGCATAATTCGCGCAGAAAAAAATACAGATGGAAACAGCTCATTGATGTACAGTAATTAAGTAGCCATTAACTTTACTCATTCGCCAAGCATTTACGTGCTGTCGCGATGTCGTTGGAATCCTTGACGGAATAAATTTATCGAGACGACATATGGCTGCGTATCGTAGGAGATTTGCAAACTTGTTATTTATCGAAGTAAATAACAAGAATTACAAAAAGCCTTGGATCGTTGGTGAGATTAGGAACGAAGGACTTTTCCGTTCTGAGTTTTTCATAAATCTCTATTCTTGCAAGATCACATTTGCTTTAACGTCTTTTTCATCTCGGAAAGCCATAGTTCCGGACGCATGCTTGGCACGCTGAAGAACGAGCTTCAGTAGAGGACGACAAATACGATCAGACAATAACTGAACAGTGCGAGTTAAATGCTAATTTCTAGCTACTGTGCAATGATCAATATTGTATCGTATGGATCTTGATCGCGTAGATACACCGTTGCATCCAATTTCTGTTACATTTTCTGCTCAATCCCGAGACGGAATTAATTGAACCGACAGTCTACGTAATTGTATTTACTGTTATTGTCTGCGGGCTACACGTTTATAGCGATTCATCGAGGAACGATAAACGTGTAACCGATAGCTTTGTTAACCGTTAAGTAATGCTTTCGTCGATCACAAGGAATACCAATGCGTCACGGAAATACAACCGCAAACATTGATTCTCGTGCGTTACCTCGCGTGAATCGTATATTTCTCTGTTACCATCGGTTGACGAATTTTTCAACGTGATGATTATACAAAAGTTTTTCATTATTTTCATATCAACGCTTTGCGAACGGAGCCATTTTTTGTCCTAGAATCGTATGGTTGAGAAACTTCGAAACGACAATTTCGAAGGATCATGTAAAAACTATAATCCTTATTTCACGTCCATAAAATTGTTCATCTTCTTCAGACGGCCATTTGTTGATTCTCGTTCGCGAAGGGTTAATTGACAACTATAGCGTGCTTTTCAATCGTTACGGCAACAAATGGCGTCTGAAGTAACTCTTAATTAGAATCGTATCATAAATCAGATCATGCAAATAAATTACAAAAAAACAGCCATCTAATTAATCCATCGTCTGATGTCTTTGGTAATATGTTATGTAATTATCGGAGAACACGTAACTGAAGCGAAAACGTCGAAGTGAAGGTGACGAGACGTGATTCCATGAGGTGTATAATTATACAGACAAAAAATAAAAAAAGGAAAAACAAATGAGTACAATTTTTCCTAGAGAAAGGAAAATTTAACGAGATGTTTCCTATACTATATCAACGCTTTGTCGAGATCACGAGTCAAGAAAAAAGAAGCTGTTAATAAGTGCTTTTACGATACTTTCAAAGAGTCACAACGAAACGAAGAATGGATAGTTTTCTGAGATCATTCGATGGAGGATAGCAACTATTCCATCGTCATCGCGCGCAATGACGAACCGGAGTTAGTTTTGACATTTCGAAGTAACAAAGCACGGAGACTTCGATGGATGAATGTTAAAATCCCGGACAGGGATCTAAGATTAGCAAACACCGTACAGGTCTATAGATTTCGTAGAAGGAGTAGTTTTGCTCTCGACTGTTGCAAGATCGCTGGCAGTGCAGCGTGATGTCGTAATAATTTTCCGGCGGTAATCGGGACGCGACTGCAAATGCGGCATCCAATAGAAAGTGCATATTTGCCCCGTGTCGCTATATATTTTATATCCACGGAATCGCGGTTCTTTTATGGATGTTTAACCGACGAAACACCCAGCTCCAGTATATGAGAGAGGAAATTACAAAATAGACGACAGGACAACGACGCCGTTTGTCCTCTTATCGCAATCTTTGGCAGAAGGTTGCAAATCGTCGCCTGGATTATCAATTTCAAGTTTCTTTATACGAGTGTGTCTTACGTGCTATTTTCTTGCAGAGCAAAGTCGCTCTAATAATTCAACCGTGTATGAATACTCAGCCAGAGACGAATTAAGGAGATCAAGAACGAGGTAATTAATCGGCATGCCAATTATGCGACAGAAGACAATGGCCGCTTCTTCGATGACTATGACGCCGATGTAATCGATGTCACACCTCGATTCGATTGACAAATGGAATAAAGACGCAACGGTATCAAAGTCGATTTCTCAATTGGTCTCTGGTCCTTCGCGTCTCGATCTATCGATTATTGTTGCACTTATCGCTAACGCGAGAGCCCCGCTCGTGTCCATTAAGCAGGTACAGCGCATTATCGGCTATCCGACGCGTGCACGTGCAACTGCACGCAATTTATCGTCAGGTTGTCTGGTTGATGACTCCCATGCCATGACTTGTCTGCGATGTGCAATGCTCCTCGAGACCGGGAGTACCCAAAGCATTGTCCGTTTAGTAGTTTATGGATCTTTTTATACCGGCCGCGACTCACGAGGTTGCATAACATAAATAAATTCGACGAAGGTACGGCACGTGCGCGCTTTTTGTATAACCTCGCACACGACGCGGCCTTTTAGGAGAAGGTGGCATCTCATCCACGGAATGTCAATTTAATCCTGTTAGCTGCATACCTGACTAATAACGAAACGTCTTGGTCGCGTGCACATGTTTCTCCTTCTTAAATTCCATTCTACGTCCATTTATCGTTATTCCTTTATCACGGTCTTCACGTTTGCTCATGCGGTCGCTGTTCGAATAGAAGATCGCGATCGTGAACGTCGCATGACTCCGGTAACTTTTTCCACTCAGTTTTTGTCTCCTTTGTACATACCTCCTTACTTCACGCGAGACTTAGAATATGCTTCTAACTTTATGTCATGATCTTGAAATTCTCAAACCGCGTGCGTTTGGTATTTATTTTCTCGTATGGATTAATAGAGATTGTCGTAAAACATGCACAAGAACATTGGTCAGGAATCTCGTTTGAACGGCACGTAGCGAAAAATAGCGACACCGAAGTAAAACGTTCAAGATATCGTTCGCGGTGTAGCAATGGCAATCGTAAAATCATAGAAAGCGGTAATTTATCCGCATGCGTAACAACGTTGTTTCGTAGTTTTGAAACACTCGTGTAATGACAGTTTACGAGAATTCATTTGCCGCGCTCTTTGCATTATTTCACAAGCGAGAAGATCGATTGAAAAATTCTTCGTTTCCTTGCCCCATGCTTTCCACCATTCATCGTTCACATTCTTCCCTCGTTCCCGCGTTCAGCTGCACCGTGCGACCTTAGCCGAGAGATTTAGCAAGACGAGCTTCTTTTGCGCGACTTAGGACCTGACTATTTTCAGCAAGCGAAAATTCGCGATTCTCTCGTCCGTTTAATTAGCATTCCGTCGGTTGTATCAAATGCCAGCAACGAAAGATCAAATTACGAAGTCTTGCTACGGCATTTTTAAGCGGGCTTGTCCCGTACGTGTACACGTGAATGGATAGGACGTACTTCGCATTCGATAAATTCGCGAGATGAAGCTAGTCGTATCGAATGGTACGATTACTGAGACGAATTAGGAAGTTTCGACCGACCGGTTTTTACACGTAGGAAATTCGTTTGTTCATAAGTTACGTGCCAGAAGAAACATAAAACGTGCAAAAAGATACGTGTATTGATCGCTCGTGAATATAATTAATATCGAAAACAGCGAATGTAGAAAGCATTTTGACGATTAAGATCCCTCGTGTTATTGGATTTCGATTGTTTAATCTTGTATCCTTTGGAAATTTGACTTTTAAATCTTGATCCCACGCGTTTCTTCCTTTATGAATTTTTAATTTCCGTCTTCGTCGTGCGTTTCAATTTTATTCATACGGATGCGTAGGCTGCGAGTGATTTAATAAGACGTCATTTATTATGCTCGAGAAGATCTACGGTTGTAAATTAATCCGAAGGCGCGAGGCATAATTGGAAGGATGAAAAGCGGGTATTCTTGACCGTTAATAATTTTTTATTTTACAACTTTGCTTTCGTCTTCCAACCCATTCGCACGATTTCCTGCATACCGATCAAGTTGGTCACCGATACTTTTCGTATTAGCTACCTTCGCTAAACCTCACAGGAAAAACGGTGGATCGCAATTGTATGTTTTGCTAGGGAACAGGTTTAACGAAGCTAGCATTTAAGTTAGAAGAAAGAGTAGCTTTTCGTTCTACAAGGGATTTGTGCTATTTAAAACTTACATTACAGAAGCAATTACCGTGAGAACCGTTATTTTCGAACTTGTTCATATTAATTAAATATTTTTTCCACGTGTTAACTTGTTGAGGGATTTTCCAAATCTTTCGTTCGAATCGAATACCCACAACGTCACGAGGAATTACCTACGATGATTCTGGAAATTTCTGACACTTCGTTTTCGTCCCTTTTTACTCGATGAACCGGTTCTCGTCGTAGTAGCCGGTTGCTCTTATATACGATTTCAATGCTATTGTCGGGTTGTCAGGAATTAAGATCAAGTTGTGCAATCATACGCACGTTTAACGGACACTTAAAATATCGTCAAGTCCATATGTTACAAATTTTGTCACCGATCAATAACGTTCATTATTCCTTTCCTTTGTTTCTCGAAGGAAAGAAGGAATTTTGCAGAAGTACCTGGCAGGAATTTCAAATAAATTCAATTAAGTTAAATGATTTTTAAGTACCATTTTCTCCAAGATATTTAACGGAAAGCCTTCACCGTAGTAATCTTAAAGAAAGAAGATATTTTTCAACGACATTGCAGATAATATTATCAAAGGTCTAGAGGCAAACAGATATCCATGAACGTATGCTAACACCGACGGAAGATTGGTGCATTTTTCCAAAAGAACACGAACCCGTTGGAAAGTTTCCGATAATATAATGATAATAATATTCATTAAAACGTTCGTAGAAATTTTCACGCAATATTTCGTTCTTCTACAATCGCGAACGTGTTGACACCTAGTAGACATCTTTAGACTTTTTGCAGACTTTTTACACACTTTTTAATCATTTGCATCGCTACCTGTATTATCTGACTTCGAACGAATGAGTCATCGTGAATATTGCTGCAAAAATATATGTTAATAGATTCTTACAGTGTGTCGAGTCATATATCGGAGATTTAGCTATTACGAGTGACAGGTAGATGTTTTGAATTCGAAATGGAGACCTGCTGGGTGTTCCTACCTCTTTTCTTCTCTCTCTCTATGAAATGTGTATTTCATCGTCGTTCAGTGCACTTTGGATGGTTCAATCGATTTCGGTAGCTGCAACCTGTCTACTCGAATTCTCGAAAATTCGCGACGTAAAGGCTTCAAAATTGTGATTTAACCTATTTCGAAAGGTTCGTGTTAACGAAGGAACTCGGAGCAACTAAACAGCAATTACCTGCTCCAACTGTTTTTATCCTTCTTTTTCTGCTTACTTTTTCTCTTTCTTATTGAATTAGCGTGTTTACAATGTTAAATTAGCTAATAATAGCATTCGATTCATTAAGTTTTTACGACTTTACCTGTCGTCGAGCTACTTTATCGTTAGCGGTTTCATAATGCATGGTGTAATTCATCGGAATATGTTCGTTCACGCTGCAAAAGGAAGTCATTGTATTGTCAGATGCAAAGTGCATTCAGTTAAGATCCTCATTAGACGATTAGTCTGATTTGTATTGTTAAAATACCAGTTTGCGGCATTGAACGAAGAAGGAAGCTTTTCATATTCCAGGATTTTATGACGTTTTTACCCGACGCGTGTGTCCAGGAAGGATAATCGTTATTAGCATAAAGTACGCGTGTCGCTTTTTTATTGCTTCATTGAAATCCTCATATGGAATCGAACACTCTCCTTTCCTTTTTCCTTTGTTCTCACTGGAATGGTATTACGATTGCTTCGTCACGTGTACGACTATCACAAACAAATAAAAAGTTGCGAAAGAGTTCTCGAAATTTGATCAAGCACTAATCGTGGCAATTAAACTCGTAATTAATCGAGACGTACACAGGTCAAAGCGAACCACTCGACTTTTGAAATTTCTTTTTAATCATATTGGCAAAGTACTTGACGTTTTTCTTCTTACATAAAGTTTAAAATAAATTTCTACTTTTTCTTTTATGAAATTAATCGATTTGGCAACTAATTATGAAGCAATTACGTTATTTCCATTCCAGTATCTGTTTTAGTAACATGTTTTATCATCGTAATATAAATATCTTTCGCAACTTCGATGATTCTATATAGCGCGAAGCGCTCGTGAATTAAATTTGAAGCAAAATTATGCGATTCTTCGGCGAATCTTAATCATGTTCTATTTCTTCGGCGTATGTTATAATGGTTCGTGGTAAGTTTAATGGATATTAATTATATAAAACCACGAAGCTGTGCAATGCTGATAAGACATAGATAAATGGCGATATATAGGGAAAATAGATCGTGACTCTTGCGTGCATTTATATCGCATCGAACGTTTACAATCTATTTACAAAATTATCTATATTTTACTAGTAAACATGAATAATTTTGTTAACATTTGACACTGAAATACCTCGAAATACGATATTGATATTGCGAGTTAATTCGTTGATAAACTGTCTGACCAGAGTATCCGAGTTCGTAGATGAATCTTTATGCTTCGTGGCTCTTTCATATTTCTCTATCTGTGTCTTCCGAGTCGCTTAGTCTTGTTAGAAAATCTTAAAACAAGGTCGTTAAATTTCGTAATATTCTCAGTTCAATGTTGCCGTTTACATGGGTATACGTACTCTTGTGGAATAAAAAACAATGCGAAGACAAGGTAGAAATGAATTAAAATGTAATTTACGAACAGATACCAGGAATGTATTTAAATCACATCTAACACGAAGACGCGAGAAATTAAAGAAATTTTTTAACGAATTTTTGAAATTCCTGAAATTTTTACATCAACTGATTCTTCTCGATAATGCCACTTCTTCATAGCTTTTTACAAACCAATTAACCATTCACACTCTTATTAGCAACGATTACTCAGGGTAATGCGGAGGAAATAGTCAGAGCGAGTCGTGAAGGTGCGCTGGTAAAAGATATAAGAAGAAAGGAATAGAGCTATGCTAATTTACATAATACAAGTAAAATGAACGCTAACGGAATGCTTCGGGTATAGGTGGCTGCCCGCAAGTTCCATCTCATGAATCTCGCGCGTAACTCTATCGGATAAGGTAATTCAATAATTTCGCATAGCAACTGCAGCGTTATTAAAAAAGTTAAAAAAGTTCGGCTACCAGGAAGTAATTAGCGATCATTCTAAGGAAGATTCGATATCGGGGTTAATTTCATACACGAATCGAGAAGTCAGTTCTTGAATTCTACGGATACAAAACCGTTCCTTTTGAACGCCTGACATTGCGTCCGCATACCGGTTCCCGCGTTAAATCGGTTTTGCACGATTCCATGATAAACTGGTCAATTTACTCCAGTCTGTCCTCCTGCCGTTATTTACACATGGGTAATATTTTAATTATGATCGATTATTTCGTTCTTCTCGAATTTCCGTAAATTATCATTTCGTGATGCAATACGATCCAATATATTATTTATTAAATAAAATGTCATGCAAATACTATCAATAGCAGAATTTAACGTATTAAATTCTTTTTAAAGAATATTTTATGGCTTTTCATTGGGACAACGTAAGATATCGCGAAAGTTGAATAAAAATGGCTAATAAATAGCACTGGATTTATGTAATAGAGGATCATAGGAAGCAAGAATTTTCATCTATTAAATATCATCGTATACTAATTGTAACTGTCCACAAAATAACAAAAAGTTACATATCGGAAGAATCTGTATTATCCAACACTTTTTTTTTTTGTTTAAAGAAGGTGAATACCATTTTAAATATTGAACATTAAAAATTGCAACATTACTTAATACTGGTCGACAGAACGTGATATGTCGCGAAAGTGAGAGAACAATTTTATTTCGATTTTGTAAAAGTTTTATAAATATTCAGTGTAACGCGCGAAGCGACGTGTAAAATATAGAAGCGACATAGAAATAATTTAGAAACGATTTAGAAACGTTCTATGACTACCGTATAAGGATACATTGCGTTGACTCGAAACGTAACAAAGAAGCTATCTAAATTCATCGTGCATCCTCCGAAGACATGGTTTCCGTATTTGATAGTAATTACTTACTTTGCCATTTCGGCCTTCCATCCGCGTGTATCGATAGAGCAGCATTAAATAAATGATTCACGGCGATCGATGACTTTCTCGCCAAGGTGCTCGTTTTTTGGCTTATCGACATCTCCACGGGTTCGTTGGAGTCGTTCTGATTCTGGCTCACGTTGACAGCCGAGTATCGTCTTCCGGCGATTCGGTTCCATATCATCGAAAAGTCCTTCATGGTGCGGCACTTATTGTTGACTCGGTTCCCCTTATGCGAACAAAGGAAGACCAGACCGAAACTCACGAGTGTGAGAGATTTCGTATGGTGTACGCGAGAGAATTCACTTGACTCGTTACGAGAATCCGCACGGCCGCGGTTCCAGTCCTTCCACTTACTACTGAAAATCTCGAATGGATCAATCCTTGCTGTTACCGATCGAACGTGCAGCGATTAATTCTCGACAAACAAGTACTACTTTCAAAGTTTACGAGACAGTACACCACCGGAACGGCTTTTTCTGTGTCACACTATGTGATAACTATGATCATGCTCCCGCGTGAGAGTCAAAATAACCTCGACGATCTTCGAACCGTTCCAGGATCGCGACTAGCCGTACCGTTTTCTACGAACTTGGCACGGTTTATCAATCCCGACGTGTTGGAAACCGATCTACTCCGCTCGTGGCGCTACATATATATCGAAAAGGATCGTCCACTCGATCGTCACCGGTCCACGACGTACCGTTCAGGTTTCGATGCTATCGGCGTGCGCTTCTCTACAAAAGTGACGAAAGCATGGATCAGCAGAGTTCAAAAAATATATTAGAGCCAGTCCGATCCCCACTTGCGTTTTGACCCGCCGATCGCGGCTCGTAGCACGTGGACCGCGGACCAATCGGCGGCTGGTATCGCTGCCCCACCACACAGGTGACGAAGACAGGTTCCTCCAGGTGAAGGATAGTGCAACGCGACAATTGCATCGCGTCACTCGATCGCAACGATCAAAGGTCAATGGAATATTGTCGCGATCGATCGATCCATCGCGAGTCGGGGGATGACCGGATGGGCCACCATGATTCGGGGTAAGTCGTCGCGCTGGAAAGCAATTCGACAAGCGATTCCTCGGGGATTCTATGGGTTGGAAGGCAGGCTGTTCGTATGCTATCGTGCCTTTCTCGCTCCTTGCTTCTGAAAAGATTACAAATTGCTTTCCTCGTGTCGTTTTGAGCCTCTAATAATCCACCTGCGGACTCTTGGATCAGCAGAGAGAGAGAGAGAGAGAGAGAGAGAGAGATGAAGAAGTCAATAACTATATTATCGTTCTTTCTTGTTTCTCTCGTTTTACTTGAAACTATTCACTCTTTCGACGTTTACGTCCACCACAGTTGTAACGGAAATTTATTGTTGAAATAAATATTATTGAAATTTAATAACTTAATTATACTCGTGGTGAAAAAGCAATTGAGTTTTGTTATTTAAAGTACAGTTTAAGTGATACAAACATGTATTTGTAATTTTAATATATTTTTATTTTTATATACCATATGCTTAGATATAAATATAATATAATGAAATAGTAAAAAATAAAGAATCACCAAGGAAATAATTCGCAGTGAGTAGTTTAAAATTCGCGTGATTGGACAGATTTCTGCTCGGTGGTCAGCAGTACATTTTTGGTGCAAACGCGATAAAATAAAAGGACAAAAGGCCCATCAACCGCGGTGTATAACATCCTAAAAATTACAGGAAACGTTCTCTTTTTATATGTTGCGTGTCGTTCCGAATTAAGACCGGTGCAGTTGTCCCTGGATTCGAGAGAAATTTAGCTGGAATTGCCTTGGTTAAACTTTTTTCGCTTCCTCTTAAACGCGATTTTAAGAAATCGAGATTTCAAAGAGCCGCGACTCCCTTGGCTTTTTTGAGTAACGACCGCTGTTTTGTATTGGAAAATTTTCTCAATTAGATGATTAATATGTTTTCATATGTACGATGTCGCCGCAAATGTTATTTTTGATCTAATTTTTGCATGTTCATGCCAGCAGATATGTACATGTTCGTCAACAATTATATGCCAGATTTAAAATCACTTTTTTTCCGTAATTCGATTTCAAGTACCATGTTCAGTAACGGAGATATTCATCAACGTGTCAGAGAATGAAAGAACGCTTATTTATTGTCGTCATAATAGCTACGTGTTCTGCCACTGTGATCTGTATTGTTTACACACTTGCCTGGAATAATCCATCGTACGTTGATGATAGATAACTAGCCTAATATATCTCACGGCAATATGAGAATGATAGATTTCCATGCAATTTTTCTAACATCGGCTCTCGCGATTTCTGAAACGAACAATCCGCTGTCTAGCCACGAGGGTGATTAATTAAACGCGCGAGATTATGATCTACTGCTGAATAAGTGTGTAATCAGGATTATATACGTAATACGATACAAATCTAGCATGAAGCATTGAATAAAATTTCATTTACAAAATAAATTACATTTGTAGTTTGCGTGTACGTAATGCGATCTCTGTTAACCTGTGCGAGTAGGTACGTTTTTCGAGCTAATTTGCAAAGATCGTATCTTTTAAAAATTTTGCCACGCAACTGTTATGAATGTTGAAATTAGCCTTGTTTTAGGGAAATAGAGTGACCTCAAAACCAGTTATTCGAGTATTTAAAACCTTGCATTCTTACACGGCGCACGCGAAAAGTTCGTAAATAATGTTATTACCACCTAATATGATATATCAACTTTCACATAATGTAGCTATTTATATATTATTTGCAAATTATCGTTAAAATTAAATTGAAGTGCGAGTTAAAATGCAATTTTCTTCAGGAAGCAATTATTGTAAAATTATATTACAAAAGGTATTTTTAATCCTTCAACATCGTGATAATAGCAGTTTTAAATTACGAATATGGATGTTTGAAAATCATAACTTTCAATGACCTTAACACGTGGTTTCATTCGAAAAAAATTAAGTTTCGAGAATGTAAAGGCGATTCGATGTCATTTCGATTTATATTTCTATGATCTCGATTTAATTGCAATTTAGATGGAGTTTAAAAGGAGACGTACGTAGGATATATGCCGCGAAGGTAAAAATATATCGACGAATGAATTGGCCCAACAAATTCGGAGTCAAGGACCTGCAGCATCCCATGAACTTCAAGGTTGAACATTTCGGGAATGTTCAGATATTATGGAAGGAAAAGATTTAATTCGTATAAACGGATTACAAAATTCAATCCACTTATGATTCGGGGATCATAATACTCGAATAAGATCCTATTCGTTTATTTATTTTACTTTAATCAGTTCAAGCTCATTTATATATAAATGACGTAGAGAAATTAATAAATTTCTGAAAACAAATTAATCGAGGTTGTACGTGAACTTAAGAATTCTTCATGATAATCAGTGTACCACCAATTATATGAGGGTTAACGTCGAAGTTTTTATGATATATATATATAATTTTTTAATCATGCTATAAAATTATTAAAAATGAAAATAAAAATTTAACTGCTGCTAAAGAATTTAATTTATAAGTCATATTACAAATTTTACAAGAAATGATTTCTTGAGAAACCCTTGTAAACTTCTAAAATTCTTTGCAAAGAAACAAGTGAAACGTTTATGGAGGTGATTTAGAATTAGAAATAAAATCGTACGATGTTATTGCAGTCTAACTAGACTTCTTTCAGTTCAGATTCGAATGGTCTTTGAAGTGGATTATCAAAAATTTCAGGATGTTTGCGTGTCGGGTATTTCTCGTCCACATCATTAAAACCGAAATTAGTGTCATTCGATGAATATTTACTTGGGAATAAGCTTCCTTCTTTCGAACTGAACTTTTTCGACAAAAATTTCCATCGTTTATCCATTAACACGGCAATTTATACTACGATGTATCGGAAAGTTTTTATTACTGACGTTCACTTACGTATTTCTTTTTGCAATATCATCCGACTTTGACATTTTTTTTTTTCTTCTTCTTTCCTTTACGAAATCGTATTTAATTTAAATATAAACAACGCATTGTGTAGACCGTTTCAACTATAAATAAAACTATTACAGAGATGTGAGTTCCCGAGAGATCGCTTCCGTTTCCTTGAATTCGTTCTGGATGCTTCCGCTTGATCTGCCTATCAATCATTAGCGTTTTTGCTCAAAGTAAACAAGGTCTGTAAATTACATGCATACTACATCATCGAACTTGTACTTGTGGTTTCTTATTTTTAACAATTGGTCTTTCCTTGATCAATATTTGTATTTCTTATCGTCGAGCCTACTGGTTTACCTTTGTTAATAAAAATATATATATAAAGAGCGTCTAAGGTGATTTCATTTTAATTGATAATTGACTCTATAATCGATCTAAAAATTATACGATCTATATATATATATATAAATTTTTTTTTATAGTTCAGTGTTTGTCGAAGGATTAGTAATAACGATATAATTGAGAGTACGTGAAGAAATTAATAAATTCAAAAATATAATGTACTCGTATGATTTAAAATGGAGTTATAATTGTTCAATGCACCTTGTATGTTTTGCATCAGGGTCTTTTAGATTTTTAAGTTCAACCAGACGATTTTTAAACCTTTGAACACGTTCTACGTTTTTCCTTCTTTCGAAGAATATATTGGTCAAGGAGCAACGGAGTATTTCCATTTTTACGAATAGCGTATCTACTTATAGACTGAATATAACGTAGAGATACGTCGTTATTTATAATTCGAAATATTGTAATTTATAATTCGTATAGAAGTTCAATGACTTGCTGAAAATCTTCAATCGCTATAATTATGCAATGATTTATCTTTCAATTAACAGATACATCCATCGAATTTCATTTATAAGAGGATTATGAACGTTAATCAAAATTCGTATAATTTTAGAAATTGAGTCTGCAATTTTTAACTTATCCACCATAAAATCCACAATCACAGCCATAATTAGCAGATTGTTTTACTCGCTATTTTTAGACGTTTATTTTTTTAAATCACATATATATCTCGTTTTATGTTAATAGACTAGTGAAATGTCTACTTTTTGACCGAAATTAATCTTTTCACATGAATCATATTCAATTATATGGGAAGAAATTCTTGGATTAAAAATAAGTGACGACTGTAGTTAAAAAATTAACATTACAAATCACGATATCGCGAATAATTTTGATCGATCACATTTTTTTGTCCCTATCTTCTAGTTCGGGGTATGAATTTTTTCGACGATTAAGATATTGAATCATTCAAACATTCAATGAAATTGATGATTTACAGTTGATATATATTATACTCACAAATTAATATGCTCGATCGCTTTGGAATGTATGTAATTCCCCTTTCTAGGATTCGCTAATCTAGCGAATTCGCGATCTATATTTACGATCAGTTCGAATTCTATCGATGCTTTGCAATCTGCTATGTGTCTTCGATATTGGTTTTGTCTCGGTACCGTTCGAAGCTTTTAGAATACTGATACTTAACTGAAGGGTCATTAAAGACAGCTGGAAATGAAAGCGTTCGGAGCACAATGAATCGAGAAAATCTGAACGAGATATAGGACAAACGTCTTGTCTTTAGACGAGAATAGATGTCTTAAAAATTTAATAATCGACCGATGAAGATTTATTCTGTAGCAAGGAATTTTGTCAAAAAGGTTAGAACAGTTTACTATTTTAGTATATATCGTTATCCCAATTAAAATCAATAATTCGATAAAATTTATTTACCAAGAACTTATGAAATTAAATATTAAGAAATATG